ACTAAGAATATCTCAATAGGATATTCCAATAGGTGCAGTTCAACGTCGATCTTCACAGGTACTTGGTGAAGTGCTGTTGTGCTGTAGTTCTTCACATTGTACACCTTAGAACTTCTGAATAGGACTTCCCTCCTGTATTTTGCAGGGATCACCTTTAAGAAAATCTGCCAGCGTTGGGGACTGGATATTTGAATCCAGGCAAATGGTTTGTCTTTGCATCTGACTCTTTCAAACATGCTGACTAATCTAGTTGACAGTCTTATGGTTTGTTTTTGCCTGGTAAATGTGTGCTGCCAGCTCTTAACTTGCCGTATTGATTTCAGCAGGAATATCTAGACTGTTTCATGTCCGCATTATGAAGTAGACACATAGGATTTGATCAGCTTTACTGGTTTAAGCTTTAACTGTTGCTCTTTCTCTTTTTATCAGCCTAATTGTCAGTCTTCAAAAGAGCTCAACTGCAGCAGTTTTCCTGCAAGTGTTATAATGCCTCATCTTCAGAATCTCTTCCAGCAAACCTCCTTGCAACAGGTACCTTTACAAGCAATTGAAAATGTGTTCTGTGTTTCCATTGTTGGAATGACCATATTGCGACTGTTTTGACCACCTCCAAAATCTGCTTAATTTTTTTGTGATGATAGGAGCTAATTATGAGTTTGCTGAATAGCTTCCAAACTGCCGAGGTTGATGGTGAGTGAATGATTTGTTCGTTTATTTTTTTTTTAATATACTTTGTAAATATCCATGAAGCATTATGAGAATTAACATTAGACTTGCTTTTATCCATTTCAGCTACTCAAAATGGAAAGTTGCCCCCTTTGCCTCGTAGTTTGGAAAGCAATGGAATCGTAAAATCTCTTAATCCTCCTTTACCTTTTTCTTTACTCATTACCAAGATATTTTCCTTGTATTTTGGATATCTGTTTCTCTTGTGCGGGTGCTCTTTTTTCTTTTGCTGTCAGGAATACTTTTCTCAATTTACGTTCAAGCCATAGTGAGATTTTAGACGGCCATAAAGCATGCTTCTGTCAAATTAAATGCTTCTGCCTAATGGATGTAGTCACCGATTTTTTCAGAAGAGCTCTCTCACTTAAGGAATTTTTTCTTAAGTAATCTTCTGCATATTTAGTACCAATCAAATTGCAATTCTGGATCTTAATCAGTTCTGAAACGAGCATTCCTCTCTTTCCTCTCTGATTTAGCTGCTTGTTTGATAGGCTGATTTGGCAGCTTCTCAAAGGGAACGAATATTGCTACTCAAGATCTCAGAACTTCAATCTAGGTTTGTCATCACCAATCTGTAGCGGAACTAATTCATTTTTTTGATAGACGAGTAATTGATGGAATTACGAATGGTAGATTTTGTCAAAGTCGTCTTTGATAATGATTTTCAGTGCATCCTATATCCATTGATTGATATCATATGTTCAACCTATGTTTTTAAGTTTTGACGAATTGCCTCTCTCTATATCTGCAGGATGGCCAACTTGACAGAAGAATTGACTGCTGAGAAGTTAAAACACATGCAGGTGAGTAGAACTCGAGTTTGTATTCGGTTCTCCCAATTTTACTGACCTTTTCAAGAGTCTTTGCGGGGAACTAATGAGTTAGTATTTCATTCCAGTTGCAACAGCAGCTAAGTACTTTATCCATCCAGGAAGAGAATGGTGGTCAAAGGGAAGGGGATGTCTGAGATTTGATTTGGGTTCACGGAAATTTGTGTCACTATGTACATTTCAGCTAGCAACTGTAAATCACACAGGAAACGGTCTCACTCTTTGACCCTCTGAAATGATTTGTGCACATTCGCACGAGAAAGCAACATAGCGAGCATCCCAAGTTTCTCCCTCTGCAACTATGTTCAATCTCATACGCATGAACCACAATCTGTCAAACAAGCGAAGAGGACAAGCCCTTTGGGGTTGAGCATTAAATTTATGTAAGGACTTTTCCTTGTTCTGCAGAAGAATTCGTTTGCAGTGGTCATGAGGAGAATCGAGTACTGGGTTGATATATTGTATTTTTGTATCCTGTATCAATATGTTCAACAATGATATTTCAAGACTATCTGCTAAGCAAAAGAGAGACTGTATAGATTGGGTTTGTAGAGCTGTGTTGCTGTTTCTTTCCCCGTCATTCTTTGTAATGACTACGGATTTTGTTGTCGTGTTGAATACATTTTCTGCTGTATTGTTGTTGAATAAATGAAAAACTGACGCCTATCGATGGCTTCCCATGTGATTAAAACGGCTGAGGAACGATGTGCTTCAGGGTTATGTCGATTCTGTGGTCGTATCAACTGTCAGTTGTGTTCTTCCAATTCAGATGGATCATTGCATAAAAGGGTGAATTCAGTGGGACAGTGTAGAGTTTCGAATGATTGAATTCTCCTCACATGTTCAGCAAATGTGCTGTTTTCATCTCATCAGGTGATTAGATTATGAGAAAAAGAGACGTCACCTGTCCCTATTGTTTTATCAGTGTGGTTTGATGTCTCTCTTTTAAGGGTATCGGGCTCAATACTAGTCGTACATGACTGTTTTTTTTTTTGGGGGTGGTGGTGTGTTACATGACTCAAAATGTTAACTTCATGGTTAGTTATACTTATGAATAGCTAGTAGCTACCGCATCTATAATTTTGTTGATATGATACTTGTATGTGCCAATACAACTTATTTAAAAATACACCGGATGTAACTCTCATCTATTAAATGCAATGAAGTCTTAAATTTTTCAGTCTGTTCATGTATGTCCTAAATCTTTTCTTTATTTTAAAAGTAATGAAGTTCGTTCAAAAACTGTACCTAAAGCTGTTCGCTTGTGTTTAGAAGTGACTTACGTGGCATCATCCTTAATTTGGCCTTTGTGGACCTGGGCACGGCCTCGATGATCCTAGGCTCGGGCGCTGGAGACCTAGGCACCGATACCGATGTCTCAGCCAAACCAAGATAGATCTGGGCACGGATGCCAGGGACTATTTTCTCACAATTTTTTTTTCGAAAATGCATAAAAATTGAAAAATTCTAGAAAAATTCATAAAAATTTCCAGAAAATAAAAAAAAAGTCAGATTTCGGGAAAATATGAAATTTGGTGAATTTTTTTAAAAAATAAAATAAAATCAAAAATTTCAAAACTTCACGATAATTTAAACACATGCCACTAGCTACACTTTGAATGAAATTTAAATTTTTGAGGTGCCAAAAAAATCAAAATTTCAAAACTTCACAAAATGGCTTAAAATACTTGTAGCCACCTACTTTGAGTGAAATTTAAATTTTTTGAGGTGCCCAAAAAAAAAAAATAAAAAAATAAAAAATTTTAAAACTTCACAAAATGGATTAAAATACCATAGTACCCACTTTGAAATGAAATTTAAATTTTTGAGGTGCCCAAAAAAAAAAAAAAAAAATAAAAATTTCAAAACTTCACGAATGGCTTAGAATATCCGTAACCCACTTCTTTGAGTAAAATTTAAATTTTTCAAGAGCCCAAAAAAATAAAAAATAAAAAATAAAAAAATTCAAAACTTCACAAAATGGCTTATAATACTGTGCCCACTTTGAAAGTGAAATTTTAATTTTTAGGTGCAAAAAAATTATAAAAATAAAAAATTCAAAACTTTACAAAATGGCTTATAATACATGTGGCCACCCACTTTGAGTAAAATTTAAATTTTTTTAGGTGCAAAAAAATCAACAAATCAAAACAGATTGAGTAAATCAATTTCTCGGAGCGAGAATTAGTCATGTTTTACCAAACAGATTTCTCCTCCGTAAATTAATTTCTGAAGAATTTCAAATCAATTTCTCGCAAGAATTTGATTTACGGAGCAGAATGTTACCATTCGCACCCCTAGCACCGATACCGATGTCTCAGCCAAACCAAGATAGATCTGGGCACGGATGCCAGGGACACAGGTACAAACACCGGGGTCACAGGCTCTAGCTTTAATGGACCGAGGCCTGGGCGGCGGTGGGACCTGATCCTAGATGTTGGTGACCTGAGAATGACCATTAGAATTTTAGTCACGGTAGCAGAGTTTCTGGTTTAAGATTACATACTCAGTCATATTTGAATTTAAATATAAAATTTTCGTTTTCTAAGCGATTCATGAAAAAATAAAGAAAATATTTTCCTCCGCCAAAAGTTGGGGTTAACTCCAAAAAAAAGCACAAACTTTAGGTCGAGGGACAATTTTGGCCCGAACTTTTTTTTATTCCATAAAAAAGCATCAACTTTAGGTCGAGGGACAATTATGGCTCGAACCTTTTTTTGTCCCGTAAAAATGCACAAACTTTAGGTCGAGGGACAATTCTGGCCTGAACTTTTTTTTGTCTCGTAAAAAAGCATAAACTTTCACTTAAATCCCAAATCTGGCCCTTATTGACTTAAAACCATTGATTTTCCAACTTGACTATTCCACCTTAGCAATAAATTCACGTGACTTGCTGACTGGATTTAAAGTATTATTCATTGTCTTATTCTCTAAACCACGGCTTGAAGAATAACGGTAAAACTATTCGTCTCCTTTACTTCACCGGCAAGTCAAAAATATCTCCAAATTGAATCTTTCTGGCCAAACTTCGTCGTTTTGTCGTAATCTGAAGCTGTAGATCACCGTCCGTCGACAGACGTCATGGAAGAGATTCGCCAGGCTCACCACCATAACTTTTTTTCTCAAACAAGGGTAACTTCAGACAGAAAGTCAATAGAGGGCCAAATTTGGGATTCAAATGAAAGTTGGTGCTTTTTTACGAGACAAAATAAAGTTCGGGCCAGAATTGTCCCTCGATCTAAAGTTGGTGCATTTTTACGGGACAAAAAAAAGTTCGGGCTATAATTGTTCCTCGACCTAAAATTGATGCTTTTTTATGGAAAAAAAAAAATTCGAGCCAAAATTGTCCCTCGATCTAAAATTAATGCTTTTTTTTGGAATTAATCCCCAAAAGTTGTGTAATATATTCCCCTGGCCACTTGAGTCAAGGGCAACTGTATGTATCGTCACCTTTCCCCCAAAAAAAAAAAACATAATGTGAGAAACTCGAGACACCTTCCTGCGTCTCTCTCTGTCTCTGTCTCTGTCTCTGTGCGGAGTGGGACTGATGAATGGATGAACGATAGTGCCATGGCCTCTCTCACTTCCATCGCTTCTCTGACTCACCTTCCCCCCCTCAGAGTCAAAGCTACAGCGACGCCCTTCCTCTCTTCTCTCCCCATCAAGGGAGGTAGCAGGAGGAGGAGGATCGGGAATGGGACTTGCAGGGCGGAGCTCTCCCCCGAGGCGCCCCTCGCCGCCGCGATCGGCGCGTGCATGCTCTCCTCCCTGGTCCTCCCCGCCTCCGCGGGCTCGGGGGGCGGCGACGACGAGGAGGACGACGGCGCGGCCGTGGGCTCCGCGGACGCGAGGTTCGCCGTGATGGGGATCGTCAGCTTCATCCCCTACTTCAATTGGCTGGTGAAAGTTTCTTGATTTCGAGCGGCTTCCGCCCCGTGTGTGTTTGATAGAGCGCTCGTTTGCTTTCTTTAACGGATGGCGTTGGGTTCCTTTGTTCTGTGCAGAGTTGGGTGTTCGCGTGGCTTGATACTGGGAAACGGCGTTATGCTGTGTATGCGCTTGTTTACCTGGCTCCGTACCTGAGGTTCTACTCTTGAAAATACTATCCGGGTTTTTTCTCCTTTTCTAAGCTCTGCTTGTTGATCGGTGTGAGAAATTTGTTGGGTTATCCCGCATGGGTTGTGGAAGAGGCAGGAGATCAGTTTATAAGTGTGTGGGAAAGCCTTACTTTTTAAGCTAGCTTTTGGGACGAGAGAGGACGAAAATCACCCAATAAAATTGTGGTTCAATGTGTTCTTTGCCTCGGCGGCCGCTGTCATTGATTGCTCTTCGATTCCTGAAATTTGACGTATATTAACTTCATGCTACTTCCAGCGTAGTCTTTGTGACCTTTCTTTCAATGGATCTTTTGTTGCAGAGAATCGAGTCTTGGATGGTCCTAGCTAGCACTTATTTCGTGCATATTTGTGACCGTAGTATTGGTCCACCTTTAGTCGAGAAGAAAATGACAGTGCCTTCTGTTTAGACCGAGTTCATTTGAGAGATGGATACAGTGATTTAGAACTGCCAGTATCCAGTACATCGTAGATGCACGTATGTTTCTGGCATTTACTAGCTTGTATTGTTCATGAGGAATGTCTACGAGAAGGGAGTCCATCTCATTCTAGTGTTTGCTGAGGTTGCTAGTTTGATATTATTAACATGTCATCGTGCATATTCAACCGAACACGTGAAAGTTATCTGTTTCTTGATGTGTTAAGTATCAAATTGTGTGCTTGTAAAATTCAGTTTTTTTTCTTTTGGTCGGTTGTAAAATTCAGTTTAAGTGGATGTGTTTGCTACGTTGTTATTGTTTATATAGTCAATCAGGTGCTGCATTTTATCAGCATCATTATCTGTACTATACTAGGAAATATTTTATAATCTGTAAATTATTTAAGCTTCATAGCTTATACATACCTATTTCATCAGAAATTGAGAATGAGCTTTCTTTGTCCTCAGCTCAAGGTATTTCTTTGCTTCAAACTCTCTCTTATTCATGCCTTGAGCTAGGTGATGTGATGATGATGTTAAGGACGTTCTATTCTTGCTCATGCAGTTTTATGACCATTTTAAGTATCATTTTAGGGTTGTTTCTTTGTATCACATTTACCTGGATGAGTATCTCTTGAATGGTTCTATTCTGGGTGAGTTCTATATGTAATCAATGCGGCCCTCTGAAGTCTTAATGGGCTAGATTGGTTTTTCTATTTGCAATCGATGCAGCCCTCTGAAGTCTTAATGGGCTAGATCGATATTCTTATTTTTCAATGATTAATGTACTCTTACGGTATTTGTCATAAGTGTATCCTTCCTGTCATTTTTTCAGGTCAAATTTATCTCTGTCGCCTGAAGAGAGTTGGCTGCCAATTGCTAGTATACTTTTGTGCATAGTGCACGTTCAGGTACAAACTCTAAACCAAATGAAGATATTACCTTGCATTTGAATTACAGTTATCAGGCCACATTGCATTACAATTATTAAAGGCAAACTGATGTGCATGTAAATGGGCCTGGGACAGGGGCTTCTTTTTTGTGCACCTGTCCTGCTGAAACTTAAATATGGTCATCTGCAAATCTCTGAAGTATTTTCTCTTTGCAGCTGGAGGCAAGCATCAGAAATGGAGACATTGAGGGTTTTCAATTGTTTAATGAGGCTGCAAAGCTTTTCTCCTCGATGTCCGGAAAGAAAGATGATCATCAGGGATTCTCTGAGGTATTACCGACTACAACGTGTATGCATCTCTAACATAGACTAATCTGTTGTATCTAATAGTCTCTTCTTGTCAAGTAGAGCAAAAGAAAGCACATGAATTTGCCATCTTCTGATACGCAAGCAAGAAATGAGATTCGGCAATGGGATGTTCCTAGAAGATCCTTGCAAGATCAGGACCATAAGAATGGAGATTGGGATGACGACGAGAGAAAGGAGAAGTAACTTAACGAGGTGCAAAAATATAGGTGGACTCGAATGAGAGATGCAACTGTTGATGGATTTACCGATCGTTCACAAATGTACAAGCATCTTTTCAGCTAGCAACGGTGGCTAGTCTTGCCTCCTACACTAGCTTGTAGCAATTCTGTTTCAAACAAGTTGGAATTTCGATGACTCTGTTGTTTTAGTTTCTCTTGGTTTCTCCGGATTAGCAAATTAAATAGGTGTAGTCAGGGGCATGTCGTGAACAAAGCTGATTATTGGGAAGGGAGAATAAGAGTTTTCTACTTCTCTATCCCATACCTTGGTTTGGTCCGGCGACATTCTGTATTTACCAAGAGATACGGGCGTGCGTGCATTAAAACGTGCATATTTATGTGATGATCAGCATAGTTGTTCGCGATATGCAAATTAATGCCTCGAGTTGGTTTCGCTGTCGGATGCATTTTGAGGCAAGACAAAACAGGAAAAATTTCAGGAGACTTATCGTTCAACTTCACCTCCTGACTGGTGAACGCATAAGTTTTCAGGGACCAACCTCATGTTGGGGTTGCGCAATGCAAAACAGGAATCGCGGAAGCTTGTGTGCGCAGTAGTAAGCGCAAACGTGCAGTGAATTGATTGCGCTTGTGATGCAGACAGTAATGGTTCAATGAGATTAGCTGAGACGAAGGCTTTTTGCAAGAATCTAGCCAGTCATTCTGTTGCTCAAAACTACTAGAAGAGTGGGGAGGGCAGCCTCTCTCGACTGTTTGTTCAGAGTCAAAGTGGCAAGAAACTCTCAAATTAGGCTGACTAATGGCCAAAAACAAGAAGAAGAAGAAGAAAGATTCCTTAACGTGCATTGCAGAAGCTGACAGGATTGAATATGGGAAGTTCTTTGAAAGAAAACAAAAGGAAAAAAAGGAGGGTTGGGGTGAGAGAGGCTCGAACTCTCGACCTCAGGATAACTCAGAAGCTATGAGACCTACGCGCTAGCCAACTGCGCCACCACCCCCTTGTGCTTCTTTTCTCAAAATAACTATATTTATATCTATAATTCAACTAGTTGTTCACACAAAGACTTTCGCATTCGATCGAAAGTGATTCTTCCGTTATTGATAGGTCCCTCCAAATGAAGTGGAAGAGTAATTGCAATTGGAAATGCTAATTACAGCAATTGAATTTTGAAACACTCTTTTTTTATTAGGTAATTTCTTAACGTGTCGTCGTCACGTAACATGACACTCACATAAAATGCTATCTTCATTATATCATATTTCTTTTGACAATTTCACATAATACGACATTCAAATAATATGGCGTTCAACTCAGTGGTTCTCTTAAAAAATTTCGAAAGTACCCAAGCTAAGCGTGAGTTAAACTAAAACTCGGCTCCGTTCATTTGGCGGAAAATATTCTCCTGGAAAATATTTTCCGAGTTTTCCTGATGTTCGGGGCGGAAAACGTTTTAGTGGGAAAATATTTTCCTTCTCCCTTCACAAAATAACCTAAGTCTACGGAAAATGACTTCCGCTTCTTCAAACGGTACCCAAGCTCGTGAGTTAAACTAAAACTCTAAGACTCGAACTCAAATCCTCGGAAGTAGTCCCAAATTGAGAAGCAACACTCTAATCTTTTTTATTTACAAAATATCTACTTAATTAAAGCACATAGAATTGCAATTATCTAAATAGGCTCGTGGATGTATTTCCAATCTCAACTCCACTTCCAACATCGGAAGAATCGAGTTGAACGTCGGAGTAATTTTGCGAAATCGAATTCGAAAATTTGAGCAACGTTTTGGGCAATCTTTGTCGTCTCGGTTTATTTTGTTTTGTTTAGGAAAAATGGTACAAATAGTCCCTGAACTTTGACTCAACGTGCAATTTGGTCAATGAACTTTTAATTTATTCAATGTAGTCCCTGAACTTTAACCTAATATTCAATTTGATCTCTGAACTTTTGATTTGTTCAATATGGTCCCTGAACTTTTAATATGTATTCAATTTAGTCCTTGAACTATTTGAAAATGTTCAATATAGTCCTTCCATTAATTCAAGTGTAGGGATTATATTGAACATTTTCATATAGTTCAGAGATTAAATTGAACACATATTAAAAGTTTAGGGACCACATTGAATAAATTAAAAGTTTAGGGATCAAATTGAACATTATGTTAAAGTTCAATGACTACATTGAATAAATTAAAAGTTCAGGGATCAAATTATACATTAAATTAAAGTTTATGGACTATTTGTGTGATTACTCCTTTTGTTTAAGAAAAGTGCAATCTTTGGTTCCACGCAAACTACATATACCTTTTCGACCAAAAAAAAAAAACAAACTACATATACCTCCCCCAACGCTGTAAAGGTTTAACCTTTCGCCATAGAAGAATGCTGGGGGCAACAAGAGGCGCCATTTGGAAGCAGCAGCCGCATCGCTTGTTCAACCTCCAGCGTCGTCTCCTGGCTCTCTCTCCTCGCATGGCGGCTTCTCCTCCTCCTCCTCCTCCCGCCGCTTCTCCTTCTAGGGTTCCTGCGTCTTCCTTCTCCGCCGGGCCGCCGCCGCCGAAGCGCGTGGGCACCCACAACGGCAGCTTCCACTGCGACGAGGCCCTCGGCTGTTTCATGATTCGCCTCACCCACAAGTTCTCCAACGCCGAAATCATCCGCACCAGAGACCCCCAGGTCTTTCCCCTTTCTTCCTTTTTGTTTCTCCCCCTATTCGTCTTCTTGGGCTTTTCCAGAGAAAAACAAAGCAGCGAAATTTTAAAAAAAAAATGGTATCTTTAGTATCTCAGCGGGTGAAAGCGGCAATTTTTTTTTTGGCTATTGTTTTAAGGGTATGTGTTGACACTTGGTTCTTGGCCAGAAGAATTGTGGATTGTTTTTCTTATGTGATGTGTTATGCGAATCAATTGGAGATTGCAGGTACTGGAGGGTCTTGATGCTGTACTTGATGTTGGGGGTGTGTATGATCCGAGTAGAGACCGGTATGATCATCACCAGAAAGGTTTTGTAGAGGTGTTTGGGCATGGGTTTTCCACCAAGCTCAGCAGTGCTGGTTTGGTTTACAAGGTACTGGTTGGACCTGAGTGTTTACCTCATTTCCATTAGGCTAGCTTTTAGTTACTACCTGGTTGTTTCAGTTTTTGATTTTCGCATTGATGGTGGTCTTGATTTTGTCGATTGTTAGCATGGTTCGTATCTTATTCTTCCCATGTTTAGCATTTTGGGAAGGAGATAATAGCTAAGGAGCTTCAGGTTGATGAAAATCATCCGGATGTGCTTCGGCTGTTTCTTGCTGTGTATAAGAGCTTTATGGAGGTATGTGTTTTTGCTTCTGACACTTCGTTTTTTTCCTTCTCTCGATGTTTACTGACTGAATCTAGCAGTGACAGATGTACTGGCTTCCCTTTGTATCATTAGCACAGAACGGTGTGGTTGCAATTTAACCTGTGCTTTTGCTGGAGTATAATTTCTGTTGGCAAACATAAATCAGTTTGGCCTTGGTCATCCATTTCTATTAGTTGCATCAATATAAAGGCTGTGGAACATTTTTATGCGTTACTAGGCATAAGAGACATCTCTTTACTTAGTTCCAGAAAACAGTGTTGTTGTCGATATCTGAGTTTGTGAATTGTGAATCATAAATGTCATTTTGCTAATTGTGAATCGTAAGATTCTTTCAGTAGTGGATGAGTTGTTGGGTAGAAGTTATTTGACATTCAAGTGTGATAGTAATGCATGACATTCACATGTAGAGCTTGAGCACAGCAACTCTTGCTTGCTTGTCATTACTATTTTTATCCGTACCTTGCTCAGTCTGTTTCCTTGGGGTTCTTTTATCTCACCGATACATAAATGCATGTTAACACTCTTTGCTGGTTGATGAGTTTGATTTTCTAATTGATAATGTCAGGCAATTGATGCTGTTGACAATGGTATAAATCAGTATGACACTGACCAGCCTCCAAGATACGTGAATAATACGTATTTGTCTTCAAGAGTCGGAAAACTGAATCTGGACTGGATTGATCCTGATCAATCTTCGGAGAAGGAGAATGAGGCATTTCAGCGAGCTATGTCCTTGGCTGGCAGCGAATTTTTAGATGTATGGTTTTCTTGAAGCGGTCTTGATGGTGGTATAACGGTTATCAGTCGCTTTAACAACTCCTATGCTAATTCTCTTACCTTTTTCTTTGATTTTCAGAGTGTACGGTTTCATGCAAGGTCGTGGTTACCTGCAAGGTCCATTGTAATGGAGTGTCTTGCAGCTAGATATGGTGTTGACTCAAGTGGAGAAATTATGGTTTTAAATCAATTTTGTCCCGTAAGTAACTGAATCTTATATGATATTGACTCATGAACATACTTGAGAATTGACAGTATCTGTTTAGATAGAACTGGATTTTGTATGCGAACGAGGTATATCATAAACGTTGGTTTGGTAGCAGATTGTTAACTTTTGTAGTTGTTAGGCTATACTTTGATTTGTTTCTCATCTGATGACAGAGCGCTCTTGGATAGTTATCACCCATGTACTTTTTTGTCTATCTTTGTAGTGGAAGCTTCATTTGTTTGAGCTTGAGGAGGAGATGAAAATTGAACCTTCCATCAAATATGTGCTTTATCAGGTACAAATTTGAACCTATGGGCTAATCGGTGATTTACCTTGTAGACATAGATTTACGTGGAGATTTTCCCTGGCTGTGTAGGAAATCTACATAGAATAAATGGAGATTTCTTTATGCATATCATTAATGGAAGAATTTTGTGGCTTTAGTGAGTGCCTACGATAGTTCATGGGTGAATGAGTCACTATTGGGTTTTTATACCACTCGCCAATTAAGTCAAAGAAAATCAAGATCATAGATGACACAAAGCTAAGATTCTATGGATGCACCTCGTTACTGCAAATGCTCTTCGTTGCATGATGACCGGGAGCTGTTTTTCTTTTCTTTTGTTTCTAGTTGGTTAAGCTTTGCTCTTAGAGAAATCGTAGAATGGCAGCTGATCATATGAGTATTTACTTGAACAAACGGTGATGCCTCTCGATGTGCAGGATGACCGGAGCAAAAACTGGCGGGTGCAGGCAGTTGCGCTGGCTCCCGACAGATTCGAAAGCCGGAAGGCTCTTCCGGCTCAGTGGTGTGGTCTGAGAGATGACGAGCTCTCCAAAGAGTCGGGCATCCCTGGCTGTGTATTCGTCCACATGAATGGGTTCATCGGTGGGAATCAAACTTACGAGGGCGCTCTTGCGATGGCCAGGGGCGGCTTAAAGCTCTAAGCAGAAAGAAAGATTGGATTCACCATTTCATGGGACGCGAGCTTTTTAGAGTATCGTGTTAGCAACTTGTGTTCGTATTCAGTTACAATTTTCATCCTCTCCCAATGCCCTGTAACTTTATATGAGATTCAATCGATCGAATTGGTACACTTCATATGGGTTGATTATTACAGAAGAAGAGTAGGATTTGTGAGGAAATTTATGTGAGGTCAGGTAGAGAGATTGGCTCTTAATTCAGCTTTTGCACAACATTCTGCATAAACTCTTCTTTGAAGTCCTCCAGCTGTGCTTCTTTTCATTGGCAAGTCCTGTAGCTAAGCTCAAATTTGGGAAGAAAGTTGAAGAGGAAAGGAGCACAATGTTGCATTCTCTTGAAACGGTTGATGAGGAATGTGAAAATTGATTCGAGATATCACTCGCAGATGAGTGCACAGATGAAATTTGTAGGAGGGAAACAGAAACCAGGATGCTTCTTCAATGTCATTGAAAATCAAAAGCCTGACTAGCATCACAGCAGCTAATGTTGACACAAAGGAGACTTGTCAAAGCTAACGAAACATGTTTTGCCTTCTATTTTGGCTCGACTTTAAGGACGCTTTTGCTTCAGTAGCACTACTGGGTGCCTAGCACGCGCGGGCAAATACAGGACAAGCTCGCACGTGACAAATCTAGGGAGCCATCTTCTTCTTCATCGTCTCATGTTCTTGACTTCTGAGCTGGTCACTCTCTCTGTGTCTCTCCAAACCTAAAGCCCAACAAGAACCCTATTCTTCACCCTCGCACCCACCAACTATGGCGGCCACAACTACCGCCGCCGTCGTCGCCGTCTCTCCGACCACCAACTCATCCCTCTCCACTCTCAGAAACCCAAAGCCTGCGCCTTTCTTCTCCACCCCATCATCCTCAGTTCCACCGAATCACAAGCCCCTCCACCTCGCCACCACCCACTTCAAAACTCTGACCCCGGTCCGCTCCTCCTCCGGCCCCTCCGATCTCTCTCCCTCCTCCTCGTCCGCCGCCAACCCACTCTCCCTCAAGTCCCGCCTCCGCGCCGGCGAGACCCTCTACGGCATCTTCCTCCTCTCCTTCTCCCCCACCGTGGCCGAGATCGCCGGCCTCGCCGGCTACGACTTCGCCGTCGTGGACATGGAGCACGGCCCCGGCGGGGTCTCCGACGCCCTCCACTGCCTCCGCGCCCTCGCCGGCACCGCCACCCCGGCGATCCTCCGGCTCCCGGAGAGCTCCCCGGCCTGGGCGAAGAAGGCCCTCGACCTCGGCCCGCAGGGGCTGATGTTCCCGATGATCGACAGCCCGGAGCTGGCCCGGGACGCGGTGTCGTACGCCCGCTTCCCGCCCCGCGGCGTCCGCGGGGCAGCCCACCCGGTGGTCCGCGCCTCCAAGTACGGGATCGAGGAAGGGTATTTGAGTAATTGCGAGGAGGAGCTCCTCATCATGTGTCAGGTACATTAAATGGATTTTAATTAAAAATTACAAATTTCGTGAAAAATGTGGTTTAAGAAGATTGATTTAGAAGTAGGGAAAGTCGTTTTTTCCCTATTGAAGATTGTTGTTTTCCTCAGATCAGTTAGGCTTTTTCGAACTGACCCTTAGTATAATTTCTCGAAAATAATTTTTTTTTTCAAACAAACTGACCCCCTTGGTATAAGTTCTAACTATAAAAATGTGACTGGTAACCATTGTATAACTATTATGTTCCTGAAAGTTGTGATCATATGTGTAGAATAAATTTGATAATTAAGAAATATACAAACCATTTAGAACTTCCAAAAATTTGGTATTGAATTGAGCTTATGGCTATTCTTCATGCACTAATTTAGCAATGGCCTGAGACCCCGGCTCTTTTGATCCCTGGCATGATATGAGTATCTCATCCAGTTTTTGCTTGTCATAGTTTTGTTTTCGCCAACCATGGTATAAATGGTGCATGAAATACTCTCTTTGTCAGGTGGAATCCCAACAAAGCGTCAGAAATGTCGAACAGATCGCCGCCGTCGACGGGGTGGACTGCATCCAAATGGGGCCGTTGGATCTGAGCGCGAGTATGGGGTACCTCTGGGACCCGGGGAACAAGAAGGTGAGGGAGACGATGAGGGCGGCCGAGAAGGGAGTGCTGGGATGCGGCCGGGCGTATCTGGCGGGCTTCGCGATGCCGTTCGACTCGCCGGACGATCTGAGGAAGAGAGGGTATCACATGGTGTCGGGTGCGGTGGACGTGGGGCTGTTCCGGAACGCCGCCGTTGAGGACGTGAAGAGGTTTCGGATGGGGTTGGAGGGTCAGAGCAGCGACAGCGATGGCGAGAGGGTGGATGGGAAGGATGCTGATGAGAAGTACTGGAGTGAGTGAGAGTGAGATGGAAGAAGTTGAATGGCATTTCAAGCTGCAGTAAAAAAAATATCCGCGTTCGGTTTTTTCGGTCTTTTTAATCAATTTTGTATATTTTGTGGAATATTTATTCTGGAGAAATGCTGAATCAGATGAAGTTTACTCGCTTTCCTTGACTGAAGTTTGTAATTTTCCTTGTTTCTGATTGCAGCAATGTTATTCGGTTCTGGTAATGAAGATCCTATGAATTATATAATTTCACCCCAAAGATATCTGCTTTAAAACCATGTAGTGTTAGAAAGCTCCATTTCAGATGTTCCAATGTTACATCTTCGTATCACATTATGCATCTGCAAATGTCACTTGGAACCAGAAACAACTCTGTCTTGTGTGCACTCGAATTCTTCTATGACATTGAACATGATCCTTGCAAGGAAACAACTTGGGCATGCGTACCCTCGTGTCTCATGCCCTTTCCAGCCAGTTTCTTGCTGTCCAAGAAATTAATCCTCGAAAGCAAATGATATTCTTCAAGCCCATATGAATTCAATGCAGATAACAGTTAAAATTGACATTCTACACTTTATAAAAGAATATTAAGGCAGTACAGTTTACACATGACATTAACAATATATCATAATCTTAATCTGACAAATTACATGAAGGCTTTAACTACAGATATACCAACGAAAACTAGTCAAGCCGAAAACCAGCACGTCAGGATGCATCAGTGACAACATCTGGCGGGAATTCCCCATCGATCTTATTGTCTCGCTTTGACATCATTGTATGGAATAATCCAATGGACATTTGCGGCTGAAATTGTTGAATCCAATCGACAATTACAAGGAACAAATGGCCAACACCCAAAAGGCAGTAACATTGTAAAGAGTCAAACTGATGTTTAATTACTTCATCACTCCACCGGATGGCGCCATTCTAGCTCACTATATCGACCTCCATAGCTCCAGAAACTGCAGGTTCTGAAAACTGCGCGGAAGCAGACTTGGGGTCCGCTGCTGCAAACGGACTCCTCATATGAGCAGCAGCCGAGTCAACTTCCATCACCGAAGCCCTTGGAGGAGAAGCCGGTTGCACCTCGACATCAGGGTAAGCCGCCCTAAATCTTGCTCGCAGCCCTTCTTCTACTAATCGTGCGCCGCTCAACTGATTACCAAGAGACAACCACCTGCAAAAATGACACAGACCATCAAAAGAGACCTCAAGGCAACGATAATACCAGGATGAGATTCTTTTGCTTAAAAATTAATCAATATACATGACAAGAGGGCCTTCACCTTGGAAGGGTGACAATCCTAAGGTTCTGGGCAAAAAACATGCATTACCCACTTAATAATCATTATGAAATTGTTTGTTCATCAGATATATACAGTGGTCCAAAATGCCTAGACTCTTCCACCGTCCATTGTCCGTAAGAGGAATATGCAAGTTTCACTTTTCTTCGGCAGCCTATTCTTATTTCCAAAAATGAAGGACAGTAAATTGAATAACAATACCCTGCATGAGTGTTGTGCATGCGAGCAAACAACTCTAATTTTCTTGTCCTCGGACTAATCCTCTCCAGCATTGGATACATCTGCAAAAACAGTGCTTTCGTTAGCATAAATTACAACGGACAATCTACGTTCTATAATATTTGAAAAACTCGAGAGATGTGGCTTCTGCGGTGCACAAGTTAGGTTGCACCAGCATCTTCAGGTATATATAAAGACATTCACCATTTTAAGATCATAAAAGTGCTCTCAGCAAACCCAGAAGACAGTAAAAAAACAGATTTCACGCAGTTTGGATCAGTTCCAAGAATTAGTGTGTGTGTTATTCACTAACCTCGTCTGGCTTACGGCTAGTCTCTCGAACCTCAGCAACAATGACGTCAGTATCAATGTTCCTGTTCACTTCGGGATTCCCCTTAATTCCAACAAGGCAATGCTCTTTACTGTGATTGAGCCAATGGCCCGTGCGGCCGGTTCTGATGATCCGCTGAAGCTGATTGGTCTTCACCCAGATGATTTCCTCAATGCGCTTGTACCCCCAAAGTTCCAAACTGAAACATGCAGACAAATTAATTATGCAAGAGCTAGATAAATGATAAACAGCATGATTTCATTCGTAAATAGCATTGTGAGCTCTAACATCAGGTCCCTTTGGAAATGACAAAGCATCACTTACTCATAATGTTTTAGAGGAATTCAACAAATCTGAACAACTGGACAGCCACTACCACATCTAGTGACTTCCACACAAGCACTTATGCAACCTCCGTGGAGTTTATTACTTGTATCTAACCTTTCTTTCCCCATGGAAAGACTTTATCAGGCAAATAACAAAGGCACATGCACTAAAAATGTGTTGAATTAAATCGGGCCATTTAAACAGACAAGAACATACCATTCTCGTCCTAGCTCCATGGCACGCCCAGTGACCCATAGAAATATCAGGCCATCAGTCTGCAATGCAGGGACATTGAGATTTCGCATCTCATCATCTGACATTGTCCCATAAGGCAACTCCATATGGATGTCCCATGGAGGATCTGCCATTATAACTCCGAATTGCCCTATCACATCCATTCTAAAGTTCCGGATATCACAATTGATCCACTGTGCTTCACCAAGTTCTACTTCCAAACAGTATTCTGCACGCTGTGGCTTTAATGGCTTGAGAGGCGCTGCTGCTGTCCCCATCATCATTGGTGGCGCATCTGGTGTTGGGTCAAGCTCGTAATGAACATACTTGCATGTCTGTGGAAAAGAAAAATCAATCAGATTTAGTTAAAGCTGCAATGAGGATGCCCAAAGATCAAAGATAGAGATGAAAAAGACCTTCATGTGCCGGCAAGTATCAAGGAAAGAACAGTCCCCTAAGTTGACGTCAGTATGTGGAGCAATTATTCGCCGAAAATGAACCTGAAAGAAGACATTTTCTTAAGGTGAATACAGAATCTGAACATATGAAACATCGGTCAAGTAGTCACACAAGTACCACAGGGGGAAGAAATAACAAAAGCTTGTGGAGGGCCAATGTCTCAGTTTAAATGTCTTTATAACAGGAAAACAACACATTTTAAACCACTTGATATTGCTAAATATAATTTACAGATGTATCGATCCATGAATAACGTTCAACCGCTGTTCATCCAAGCAAGCCATTTGAAGCCATAGCTCTTAAAGTTTGTTTTCTTTCTTCACATTTACCTTATGGGCACCACAAGTATATTATTACACCATCAATTTAGATGGTGCATAATACAAACTTAAGTAAAAAAGGACAAAGACCCAAATACCCTAGAAAAGACCACTGACATCACAAAGGCATAGGTCTGATATTCATTCAATTTGTCCCAGTTTGATTGTGCAAGGCAAAGAGGGTGTCTCCGAATTACGAATTCTGACTGGGGGATGAAAAGGCTGAGGAGGGTATGTTTTAAGGAGAAAACCAACACTAATACTAATAGTCTCTAAATACATGCAAAATCATAAAAGAGCAGATGAAGCAAATAACACTCTCTAAGCTGGTTAATAATGCAGAAAAATTTCGCTGAAGCAGCCATTGATAGGAAAGTTATGTATGCAAACAATAGCCCAACAAGTAAAGGCTTGCAACTTGGAGCTGCATGCATTGTTGCAACAGTTGCACATATGACAACTGCACTTGCACCACCATAGCAGCTACTAGGGGTTTGGTACCTTCTAGTAATTACTTAGAAGCTGTTTGCTTGTTTAAGACTTCCATTGTGGAATTACTACTGGCAAAAAGGGAAGTAAAAATATCAAAGTGTGAATGTGCTGCACTCCCACATAAGAAACACTTAGAAGCCAAATGACACCATCAGCTCCTTAAAAAACTGACAAAATTACAAAAGTCCACTGCACACAGCCTAGCCACAGAGAATGAATCCAGCAACCAGAGTATTTGCAATACAATTACTTAACAAACAACCGCCACACACAATCTGTTGAGTACCTTTTCACACGATATAAAGGACCCAGATTGGCGTCTGCAATCTTCTTTAGTGAGTGATAAACAGTATTCCTTCAATTGCGACCCACCTTTTGTTTTAAACTGCAACAGAAAGCATTCAATGAAGACCTTGATCAGATAAGCTATCACATTCACTGAAATATAACTCCAAATACAAATTGGAAAAGCTTCCAGACAATGCCAGTGCCTGTGCAGAACGAAGCATCCATAGAGTCAACCAAAAGCAACATGAATCTCAATACCTTGGCAGCCACCGCAGTTTCCTTTGCAGTTGGCCGGTGAATCAGGTCCAAAAGCTCCTCTCCAGTTTTCGACTTCTGCATTTCTCTGAACGACTTCTTTTTCAACAATGCCTCGAGATCCTTCATATCATCCTCTTCTGTCCTTGGCTTCTGAGACAACCCGCTTGGATTCGGCACTAAAGGAGGTCTATGCATCGGAGGAATGCTGATTCCTCTAGGAATTGCCATCATGCCCATTACTCTAGGCACACTCCGAGGCCCCATCAGTGCTCCAGGTGGTCCACCACCCGGATACATTGGTGGAACCCCTGAAATGTGCGGGTCGCCTCCGGCTCCCATCCACATGTCCTGCATTGGCCTAACTGGTCCTCCCATCCCGAAGATCCCACCATTCACATCAGCTCCACCATTACCAATCCCCTGCCCACCACGATTATGATTATGATTAGAATTATCATCCCCTGAACTCGATTCCTGTTGCTGCTGCTGCTGCCGCTGATCCTGCCCACTCTCCGGCAATTCCTTCAAAAGCCGAGTCCTGTCAATCCCCAAAACCATCACCCGCGACTTCCCGCTCACCACAAACTCCCCCAACTCAACCCCGCCGTTATCCTCCGCCATCGAGCGCAGCGCCATCTCCACCGCCAATATCGCGCCCGATTCTCCGCCCACCTCCCGCAGCGCCGCCTTCTCCGCCGGGGTCGCGTTCTGGTCGTTCTCCAGCTTCCTCAACACCGTCGACGAGTCGATCGCGGTGAACGGGACCCGCTCCAGCAGGCACACCGCCACCATCGACCTGACGACGGACAAGGGGCTGTTGCTCTCATCAAGCGAGAATTTTTCGCTCTCCGACCGAGACACCGGGCTCGGCTCCGCCGCCCCCTTCGAATTCGAGGATCTGGGCACGGCGGCATTGTCCGGGGTCGGCGGGCGATTCGGGTCGGAGGGTTTCCTTGGGAGGGGATCGGGGCTGGGGAGAGTGGGGACGGGGGTGAAGGGGCGGTGGTTGAAGGCGGAGACGACCTTGAGGGAGAGGTCGATGGAGGAGACGAGGTCGGGGAATAGGGTTTGGAGGGAAGCGAGGAGTTGGAGCTGGGCGTTGCTGGTGGAGTGAATCCGCGACTCCAGCTGCGAAGCCATGTCCTTGACGGTGGCGGCGGCGGCGGCGGCGCCGCCTCCTTCCTTGCCGTCCGGTCGGGTCTCCATCGGTGGCGTTCGAGGAGTCTCAGGTTCGTGTTGTTGTGCGAAGGAAGATTTGAGGGTCTGATCTGAGGAACAAAGATTGAAGCGTTTAAGGTTTAGGAAAAGTGAGTTCGGATCGTTTGTTTTTCAGAAAGGAAACATTTTTACGTGTTTTCTCCCAAATAAAAAGATAAATTTTTCGATAATTAACTGATAAAATCTAAAAAAAATATGTGTAGGACCTCCATGGCAAACATTTAAGCAAAAAAAAGAGAGAAAAAAAAAACAACTACTCAATGGTATAAGATTATAAAAATAATCGAAAAGAAAATTATCAAGTTACTCAGCACACGATACAAGCACGTGGACGTGATGCCATCGCTTATTTTATGTATCATTTATTATGTTTCGAATACATATTTTTTATGACTACGATATCCTTGCGGGGCCGATACTCTAAGATATATAAGCGTAAATTATGTAATGACTAAAATCGAGCTAATATTATATATAATTACGTTACATTTTATTCGTTATATTCATGAATCATAAGCCATGAAAAGATGAATTTGATGGAGAAATAGTAACAACGAGGGGAGAGATTAGTGCAATGAGAATGTTGCTATAAAAAGATGAGTAAGTATTGATGGAAATTGATATGGTCGGCAATGATAGGCCATTAATATGCTGACTAATCAATAAAATAAACTAGGACGGAATTAATGAAAAAATTAATTAGGAATAGACCTATCAGTCAGCATTGATGAAGTTCGTGAACATTGTAATTCGAATAACGATAAACTTGTGTTTAAGAAAAAGACTAAAAGTGCTGCGTTGGCAATAATTAGAGCTCGTAATTGCTTGAAATGGCTAAACTCCCTTGAAAAGGTATGGCGACTGACCGGAGGAAGAAGGAAGAAGGAAGAGAAGAAGAAAAAAAAAAGAAAATATAAATAAATAAATTTGAAAAAAATATTAAAATATTATTAAAAATATTCACGTTTGCGCCGGTCGATCAAAATTGACCGCATGGACTGAATTGGCATAAATACAAACGGTTTAGGATTTAATTGACAAAACATAAGTTTAGGACTGAATTGGCACAATCATGTTCCGCCATTGAGCCATCAAATCCCTGATGATCATTGGACGCCTCATTCTTTCTGCTATCATGGTTTGATCAACTTTGGGCACTAAATTAGATCTACCTTATTAGTTCAATCAAAGGCAAGTCATTCACGTAAAAATTAGGGCTTCCCAGGGAGTTAGTTCCTTCTTTTATGACCTGCTTCCAAATAACCGCACCAAGCAGGGAATCGACAATGAGATTTTACACTTTTTGAAGCACAAAATCTCAGTTATTTTACTACTCGACCAACCCATTAAAACGTGGCCACGGTAGTCTTAAGCTCCAAATGTCAATTTTGAATCATTATAAAATAAATCAAGAAACAAATCCTTTCGAACAATAAGCCAGGTTAGATGATTCCATTTTGTCGTCCTTTTGCATGATAGAGGTAGCTCTGGCTGCAGAGTACTAAGATGAAATATGTTAACTAACCCTAGATATATCTCTAATGGTTTATCATCGACTGCGACATGATGAAATGTTTTGATTATCATAAAGTGATATCAGATTTGATGTATAAGTGAGCAAAATAGAGTGCGTAAAATCAGAGAACTATAGCTAAACTTGTAGTCCAAACATTGGTTGGGTTAGGTCTTTCTCTTGAGATTGTCTGGTTTATCTTAAACTTTTCGATTCTTTCACGTGAGAAATGGGATTTACTCGTGTCCCGCGTTCCGGGTACTCATTGTGCACCAGTTTCGGTTTTTTCGGTTAATTTTAAAGTACTTTCCCGTTGATTACCCAATTGCTCGGGAGGGCGACTCAGCTTATTGGATGCGCGCAACGGCTATATAGCTCAGAGATGTCTCAGTGCAAACGTATTCATATGTTTCATAGATTATGAATAACAAATTCTGTCCCTTGCAATTCATCTTGAATAACAGAACAGGCTTCCATGGAATTTACTGATAAAAGTTTTAAGGTTAGAATTACATTTATAGAATTACATTTATCAGACCATACAAATTTTCCTTGGTTCTGTTCTCCTGTTAGAGGGTCTCAAATCACACTCTTAAGTAAAACAAGAAGAGTCATGTGTGAGCTTGGATGCACGAACAGGTTCTCTTTTTTTCCCCTAGGACAAATCAAATTCTTTTAACTTCTCTTTGGGTAATGTTATTGTTTCATTTCCCTTCTGTATCAGTCTTCATCTTCTTTGTTGGAGCATTACATTCGGAACTTTTTTGTATCGCAAAGTAGCGCACTTGACACATTTGAAAACGAAGATGTGTCTCGCCGGTTTCTTTGAATCTTTATCTCAGTAAAGAAAAGTGAAATATTGAACCAACAATGTTTCTCTTTCACAGAGGACTTTCTGTGATTTGTATTCCTAATCCCAATCAATCCTTTGCCGTTCTTGAAGACTATGTACAAAATATTTTGATGGATGCCGCCTCACTCTCAAGTGAAAACAGGGCAGCCTTCCACCACAACTCCTACAGCAGTAGGGCATGTAGCCAGTGGACACCCATCCAAATCATTCCCCCACCAATCCAAATCAACGCTCTCAAGCCCCAAGCAGAAGTACAGCAGCACCCCCATGAATGCAAGCCCAGCATCCAGTGCCCCAGAGAGCACATAATTGTATTTCTTCCACAGCTCCGGCCGGTACCGGTACACCACAAACCCAGACAGGAACCCCGCGATGATCCACGTCGTGTAGTTCACAGCCGTCGCCGGCGGCATGTACCCTGTCGCCCCGATCAGGACCGGCATGTTGATGAGCCCGATCCACTCTTGTTCTGGGAAGGCCTTGTGGGCCAGCCACACGAGTAGGGGTGCGATTGCTCCTCCTAGGAAGAACCAATTGATGGCCCCATAGGTGCCCAAGTTGCCGAAGATCCTCCGCGGCCCGATCAGGCCCCAGATCACCGACGCATCATAGAAGACAGTATCGCTTGGGCACGTCCAGGGGCTGCTCGAGGAGGTCGTCTCGCAGATGTCAGGGATCGTTTCCATGAGCCACCACGCCGTGCCCAGGTACACGAACCCAGCTATAAGAGTCCCCACTACCTAACGAACAAAAGGATCAACATTTGGAGTACGTTGGTAATTTGAAGTCATAATATTGTTGCAATGGAAAATTTTCCTAGTCATAAGCCAAAAGGATGAAGCAGGCTGATATAATTACCTGAGCCATGAACATTGTTCTAGGAGGGATTTTCATGTAGTGGCCAAGCTTGAAGTCCTGCAGAAAGGTGATGGCTTGAGTCATGCTTATGTACCCATACACCTTGAAGCACATATTCGCGACTGGGTATCCCGGGTAAATATACCCGATTATGTACTCGGTGATGATATTCAACCCTGGAGTCTGTTGCAGAGGAAGAAAAACAAAAAAGGAATCAGATAATTGACAATATGGGAACCGCCTCTTTGTATCAACGCTGCTGCATAAGAAGGGATCTTTACCTGATTCGTGATGGCAGTGATGATGCCGATGGGAAGAGTGAAGACGATGGCGATCACACAAGCCAGCAAGACGCCCCACCACGGGAGTTGAAGTTGACTGTTGTAGTACTGGCAGGCAAAGATGGTGGCTGCAATGTTCGCCACCAGGATGCACCAGAACCACCACTCCGGGACTTGCCTGTAGCGCCTCATCATTCTTGTGTGTATATCAGCTGTCTTCTCTTGGAAACTTGCCTTACTCTGCTCCCAAATCTCCCTGCATATACGATATTGATTAGAACTTTTGAAGTAAATATTTTCGGATGACGCGAACAAACAAACTGATCTTCGTTGGCTAACTTAATTGTCACTTCTGTATTACCTTCCGTGGAAGAGAAGGACGTGAACGACGGTGGCAGTGAGTGAAGCAAAGCCAACCCCATAAGTCATGGCGAAAAACGTGCTGAGGTAGAGAGGTCCTTCCTTCTCGTACGCCGCGAGATCAAGGTGGAAATTGGAGTCAATGATGCTCGAGATGTTGTACTCCTGGCCAGTAGAAGTGAACAGGTCGTCCGAGAATATCGGGAACGTCTTGGCCTTGTACACATTGAGCCAATAGCAGATCGGAGTCAGCACGTACATCACGAAGACAAAGCCTACTGCCACATTGGCGGTGGCGAACCACGGGCTGGCCAGCGGGCTCCCGAGGTAGGCAGAGATGGTGGACCAGTCCAGCCCGACGGCTGCGATCCCGAGCCCGTAGAGGCCCGAGCCGAGCTGCTGGGCCAGGATGGATTTGGGGAAGATCCAGCAGATCCAGGATAGGGAGGTAAGCATCTCGAAGATGTAGCCGGGGAAGACGTAGTATGCGAAGCTGCAGATGAAGGCGATCAGGAAGAACTGGGTCCGCGTCACGCCACCCTTCGGCCGCTCCTCTTGCTCGTGAAGCGCCCTGCGATCAACAGTAAATACACGAAGCATTGGGCACAAGATACCAAAAGTTGATCCAAGTCTTTCAATACACAAACCTGAAGAATATTAACTTACACATATTACAAACTTGCGATTAGATTAATTGACCAGAAGCTGTTCATTCATTGTATATACCTAAGAGGGAAGACACCTAGAACTAAAAAATCATAACTTCGCCTCTAGATGAGTGAATTTCAATAGGCAATTACATCGTACGCGTCCGAGAAAGATAGCTTTTACCCATTTCTTTATTTTTTCTGTTATAGTTCTTCACTGAATCTTCCACAGGAAGAGAATAGAATTATTGATGTCGCTTGGTGAAACAGAACTTCAGGAATGATGGTACTCGAAAAGGGTCTATGCAAAGAGAACTGTATCAGAAAGTCTCGAGCATGACTCTTTCTTTTTCTGTCGTTTAATTATTGCTGTTATTATTGTTATAAATTTTCAAAAAGTAATGGTCGTCGGTGTCATGCACGTTCTTGCTCTGGCATATCTCTCATTACGGAGGCTTTCTTCTTCCTGGGGAGGTTCCTGCCTAACCTTTGACTACTAGAGAAATGAACGAAGCTGATATCCGAGAGTCAAAAAAACTGTATACACGACTAATCAAACCAACCGTTAAAAGCATCGCTTAACTCATAAAAATAAGCACACAGTGGGTAGGTTAACTTAAGTATCTACGACTCCGAATACAACCGATTTAAGTGTCAACACAATCGATAGGTGTTCGAGCTAACAAGGCTTCTTTTTTTTTGGGTCATGCACTAAACTATATTACCTTCTTAGTCCGATCAAAAGTAGGTCATTCACGTAAGGAGTGAGGGCTTCATGGGGAGTAAATTCCCTGTGACCCGATACCAAATAATTGCATTAAGGAGGAATCAAACAAGAGATCTCACGCTTCTTAAGGCGCGAAATCTCGATTGTTTTACCTCTCAACAAACCCATTACGACATGACCCGTAATAGTTTTGTCGGTTTATCATACACGCCTGGCACTATGATGTACTAGGTTTTATTGTGAATTCATATAAGATTTTCTGTATAACTAAACAGAAATGTATATAAAACCAGAGGTTTAGTCAAATTTGCAGCTTAAGCACTGGGTTCCAAGACAACTAGTGGTGGGTAAAGGGTCTTCTCGTGAGCTGATCTCATATATCTTTGGGATTTTCTTAATTCTTCCCGTGGAAAAGTGGAGAAATGTGACTCTCGTGTGTCCCACATGGTGGGGACTCAGTACGTCACATAACAGAAAACGTCCGAACTTGACAACCTCAGAAAAGACACAAGCCGTGACTGTCCTCCTGCAGTCATTACGAACCAAAGCCTTGCCGTGCCAATCATTCAAACGAATCACGCATCCCCGGGAGATTCCACAACAAACATTCCTACGTTTTCTATAGATCAACCAGGACAGAAATAAGAAGAACGCACAATGAGAGAGCGATACACTGCCAAGGCAATATAATTCATATCTCATCATGTAATGTTTGGATTTTATTAGAAAAGAATGAGATTGCAGCATTCAAGGCATTATATTTTTCGTCTTATATATAATTGAAGTAGTTGCTAAAGATGAAATTATGTGTGTACATGTATGGTAAAGTTGCTGAGATGAAATTGGTACCTGAAAAGAGAGACCTGGACGAGGTTGGCCGGCCACCACATAGCCGCTGGCTCCACCAAGTATTTCCTGAAGATACCGGCCCATCCGAACCCTAGCACCTACCATTCAAACCCAACCACCTACACACCATCATGGACCCTCCCTCCCATAACATTATAATATTCAATATGAAAAAAAGCAAATTTTCATTACTTTTGGGAACACACAAAAAGAAAAAAGGATCAACATTTTCCCCATAACTCAGGAGTTCCAAGTTGCGAGACTATCAATTAGCACTTCATCACCGTGCATCATTTTGTCCAAAATAAAGTTTCTCTTCCATCTTGTAAGGCCATTGTGTTTCATTGACTACTAAGGTCCCGTTTATTTCACATAAATTAAATAATTTTAAAAATATTTTCTCAAAAATAATCGTTCGTATCGCTTGAATTAATCAATCAATGAAAATTGTTCTCATTATCGACAACAATTTATGCTTGAACATTTTAGTGAACGATAATTTTTTTTTTGTTTCATTCATTTTTGCAAGCGATACGATCGATTAAGCAAATTATTCATTTTCCGCGAAACAAACGAAACCTAAACATGTACCAAATTTTTGTACAAAGCTATTGAAAATAACTCCATTCTTTACGCAATCACATGGTCAACCTCACACCATATCACCTAACCGAACCAAGTTCACAAAAAAAAAATTGTTCTAAAAACAAAAATAATTTCGCGAATTGTTCCCTTGGTTAACGGAGTGAATGCGCTTGTTAAAAAATGGAGACATCTTGTGAAAATACCTTTTTTCTTTCAACTCGCAAAAGGAAGATTGGTAAGAAAAAGAAAAGGGAAAAAAGAAGGGAATTCAAACCTGGGTTGTGATGACCACAATCAATGACACGAAGAAGGTGATGTGCCTCTTGTAGAACACCTTCACCACCGTGACCACGTGAATGGCGTAGACCGTGCCGGCGCCGGAATTGGCGAAGATGGTGATGAGCACGTGCTCCTTCACGTTGAACGGGCCCGGGTTCAGCGTGAACTCCCACCGGGTCCCCTTGAGGAACACCCGGTCCGTGATCCTCGCCGCCATGAGCCGGCCGAGCGGCACCACGGCAATCTGCGCCGAGATGGCCGTGATGGTGAGCGGCTCGGTCCGGTACCAGAAGAACTGGTTGAGGAACGAGAGCAGCACGCACGACACCGTCCCAAGGACCCACATCCGGAAGGTGAGCACTGGGAGGGACGGGTCGTCAGTGGTCGGCACCGTCAGTGCCACCTGTGGGACCGGCGAGTTCTCCTCCGGCTCCTCGACGACCCGATCCAGAGAGGGCGAGGAGGATGATGCGGCGGGGTTGATCGAGTCCCCATTCTTGGATACTGCAAAAAGCAAGATTGCCCAATTCAAGGAAAGGAGCTTGACAGAGAGAGAGAGAGAGAGAGAGAGAGAGAGAGAGAGAGAGAGAGAGAGAAAGAAATGGGGATTAAGAGGACTCACTGAGAGGAGCTCTGATTTCTTCACCTGGTGATTCTTCCATCTCCATCTCTCTCTCTCTCTAAGTCATTTATATATTCTCTGTTCTGGGCTGAACCTGGGTGGTGATGAGATTTCAAGGAATGGGGTACTGCAGGTTAAACTATGGAAAGTGGTATCAGAATTTTGGGGGTCAAATAGGAAGATGGAAAGGAAGGTGGAAAGGTTGGGTAGAGAGAGAGAGAGAGAGAGAGAAGAGAGAGAGAGAGTTGAGTTGTAGTTTTGATTGTTTTACTGTGAGTGGAAGATTCAGTACAGGAGGAGGTTATTGAGAAGGTGAGTTGTTGCAGAATCTGATGCACGTGTGGTTAGCTACAGTTGTTCCTTTTGTTTAACTGGTTTTTTCCGTTCCGTCTTTCAGTTATGACTTCAGTTCAGTTCAGAGGGCTTTCTACCCCGCGATAAAGAATTCATAACGAACCCAAAAAAAAAAAAAATGGACGATAAAGTTAGCTTATGAAAATGATGTTGGAGAATCTTGCTTGGTGCTTGGTTTATTCATTTTTTATTTGTGTAATTTCATAGACGAGTATTGTTATATCTATTATACATCACGACGAAATAAAAAAGTAAGTTGGTGTTAGGGGTGATCAGTTCTAGGGTGGGTCAGTTCTAGACCTGAAATCTGAAACTGACCCTGTTATAACCGGTTCCTAATTTTTGGAACCTAAAACTTACCATGTTTGCCCTGGACCTTGTTTTGAAACCTATCTTATTTTTTCGGTCCGGTTTCAAGGTCTACGCAAGAACCTGTTTTTTTTTTTTGTTCCTTTTTTCGGTTTCATTTTTTCCTGGTAACAAATAGGAAAACTTATAACTCAAATCAAAAGTTATAAGTTTGATTGTGCAAACAATCTTAAGTATTCATACAAAAGCATATTATCTTAATCCCAATAATTTAATGGATGTGATAAAACAGCATAGGTTTCAGTTGGATATGTAGTTTCTTCGTTATAGAACAAAAATTTTAAGAAAAAGGAAATTGCTCTATATAATGCTTACAAGCCCTTGAGTTAAACTATCTGCAAATAATGATTACCTCCCTCATCCTTCCTGATATAATGCTTTGAATTTTGGCCCTATAAAATTGCAAGTGAACCTCCATATAAAACCGGTTCTAATATCGGTCCGAGTGAGTTTTTACTTGGAACCGAAAATCGGACCGGTTTTAACAGGTTCCCGGACCGGTTCAAATAGTAACCGGTTCCCAGACCTATTTTTCGGGTGGGCTGATCCGGTTTCTATGTAAACTCGGTTCGGTTGCACACCCCTAGTTGGCATTAAGAACAATTTGATGGGTTTTCGTTTTTTTCTCTTTTGCGGTGTTGTTGGGTTTGCGGATCTTTTTGAGCATTCGACTATCTGAGTGATCATAGTAGGATCTCGGTCCCATGACCAATGAGAGAAGTTGTAGAAACAAGAGGCTTTTTAGGTGGATTATGGCCTCGAGGAGTTGTCTCTCGATTGCAACGAGAATCGATCTTTGAAATACGGTTTAGTATTGAGTCATGATCAACTCTATTGGTCATCTTAACGAGATTTCTTCTTGTTGATGAAAGAGGTCACACGCCTTTTTCGTGTCTAACTTGTATGCACGTCATAATCCTTTCAAGAGCATGCGACAATCAATTATCAAAATACGAGGAATCTTGGGAATCATGAGGAGAACTTGTGTGTAGTTTGAGTTCAAGATATTAGAGCTCTTTGATGTGCTTCTAGTGTCGTAGGAAAAGGGGGATGAATACTGCGTCAAAGTAATTTCTATCTTTCAGGGTGAATTAAGAAAAGAATTTCAAGTATAGAGAGAAAAAAAAGTTGATTTTTTTTCAAAACAGCAAAAACTCCCATGCATTGAGATGACTGACAAACCCTAGATGGACTAATCCATCAAGGCCTCTGATCATTGGATACTGGTGAGATGCTCGACCAGTTATCATCTCACATGTCCAACCGATTATCACATGAACTGATAGTTGTATGGTCTCTCGAAAACTTGATTCTTGAGTCATAACTCCTTGCAATTTTTTCATAATTGGTATACAAAAAATCGTCACACACAAACATTCAAAAGTTTTATGATCAATGGATGAGATTTACTCTCTTTTTTTATCCGACAGACATCGAAGCGTTAGACATTCATTTGGTAAGGAATCAAGGATCCTTAAAAACACCGCACATGAAGAAGACAACTATTTTTTGAAGAGTAATTAAAATATGAAAAACTTTGTGGAACTAATTCTTTTCAGCTCTTAACTTTTTGTCTAATGTAAGACTTGCATGATTTTTATGCCAATGGAAAACTTGTGACGAGATCTTCTCGTCAAATCCGCCATAGAGGGGGTAATCTCAAAAACCACCTAGTATAATCATGTCTCTCTCGAGAGTAACCATATTTTCGAATCATCAATTGCTCTTACATTTTGAGATCCAATTGACTCAATTTCTTGTACATTTGAAAGCTTGTTACCTATAGTTTCATGTTGTGTTTTTCAAACTGGGAGATTGCAAACTTTTTAAATAAAAGCCATGGTAAGTAAAACCCACATTTAAAATCGAAAGCACATTTTAAACCATTTTAATTAGAGATAAGATTTCGGTCGAGTTGAACATTTTGAAGATGCAAATGCGGCAGTTGTGAATTTGGCAAGAAAAGAAAAAAGAAAAAAGAAAAAAAGACATTTGTGAATTAAGTTTACCAAGTACAAGAGCGAGATAGATAGATGGGAAACCTCGAACTAACTTTCTTGTTCTCTTTACTGTCCTTCAAAAAAGCAGACTTGACCATTTTCCTGAAAACGAGGACGTCCCAGGTTCATCTGAAAATGATTGTTGCAAAATGATTGTCGCAAAATTCACAAGACAATTTTTATTTTATTTTTTTCAAGTTTCATTGATTCCTCACTAAATTTTATTCCTGATTTATCGTTTATAAAAGAAAAGCAAGATGCAAACGAGACAAGATCCACATTGACAACCTTCGGAAAATTAACGAGTAACGTTAAGCCCCGACTGATTCCGTCGTCATATTAAAAAAAAGTAAAGTCATTGAGCGCGATGTGGCTCGCATTTTGGCACTCGATATGAGGGAAAAAATTAATGTGGACACCTCCACTTCGTAATACACAAGAAAAATTGTAACTTTATTAAACTCCAATTTATTTTTTTGAAAATTTTCAGGTAAATCAAATTGCGACCTTCTGGTATCTCTCTGCAATCTCTTCAACGATTTCCATAGTGAATGAAGCATTATCAGGGTACATTTCTTTGAAAAGATAAAAAAAAAAAACATTGAAATTAAAACCATTGCCATGCAATCATGGCACTTCCAAGAATTTGAGACAGAGAGAGTATTCCCTTTCGATATGGAAAAACAAATTATGCAGTTTCATGGACATGGAAATGTCACACGCTCTAGTTGATCACCTATTAATTGGTAAAATACACGTATCGAAAACAAGAACGAAAAGGGGTGAAACATGATCGCCTATGAGCTATACAAACCAAGCATTTGAGAAGAAAAACCTTTCCTACCATCAATTGACTATTGCATTCAAGAAATGGACGGACAGAACCAATATAATGATAATTCTTTGCCTGCTATATAATAATAATAGAAGCTCTAACCAGCAATCCCCAGAGCAAATTAAGGAGCAAGACCAAACATTATTTCAGTTGACGCCAGCTGATGGATCGAACCAGAAATTTATCGAGAAACAGGAGTACACGATGTGGACCGAAAAAGAAGAACAAGGAGCACATGAAAAAGAAAAAAGAAAGATCTATGTGAGATCTATCAACTTGGAAAAGGAAAGCATGGGGATATAACATTTTCTACTGCTGCAATTTCCTTTTGGGACTGTCACTAATCACAAAGTATGATATCAGGTTCTCCTCACGAGTTTAGCTCCACGAAAAGGCTGGCTTGAGGATGCAATCCTGCTTCCTTCAATGACAATGAGTGCTTGTCCGAACCATAGGACACGCGAGGGAAGTTGGAGACCAAGGTGTAATTCCCCATTTCCAAGCAATCCAAAGAATCGACATAATCGTACAGTGACTGTATTGTGGCGTCACTGTGAAATCTCCGCTCTTTGCGTTCTCCAGTAGGGAATCGCACCAACACCTAACAATCAACACCCGATCACAGACATTCAGCAAGGAGAAGAAACCACCACTCCCCAAAAATATCCAAGTATTAGGAGTCTAGGAGGACTTAAAGCCATTATGACGGGTATAATACAGTGAATAACAAGAAAGGAAGAAGACTTCGCATATAGGAAAGGAAACTTACCTGAGTTACATTTGGTCCCTTTTCAGGTTCCGCCCCAAGAGACAAGGACTTCTCCTCCCGAAGTTTAGCTAGCGCGGCTGCTTTTTCAGCGGCTTCGTGCTCTGCTCTTTCACGAGCCTCTTCTTCCTCTTTGCGCTTCCTTTCAGCTTCAGCAGCTTCTCTCTCCAAACGCTCTTGCTCCTCTCTCCTCTGCCGTTCCCTAGCCTGATATGGAAAAGAAAGGGTAAAAAGGAGATCATTAGGGCCAATGGGAGTGCCAGTAGGCCCCACAAGGACAATTATCAAGCAAGTAGATACTTCTAGTGAGAAAATAAAAATCAGTCTCCTCCTAACCATAATGAAATACCCAAAAGAAACCGAAACTAATTCATCCAGTAATCTACCTGATCTGCTTCAAGAGCTGCTCTGTAAGCGGCATCTTGCTCCTCCCTCAACCGCATGTTAGTCCTTCTTTCTTCTGCTTCAAGTCTGGCTGAAACAAGAACAGGGCCACTTTCTTCCAGCACTCTCTGAAGTATCATAAGCATTTCTTCAGGTGACTTTGGGCCCTCAACCTGCAAGAGGAAATACATATGCTTGAATTATGAGTAAAAGAACTATAAATCTGAATTAATGGAGAGGGAGTTTGACATGAGGAAAACTCAATCCTCCATCTTAGTAAAGAAATTTGATTGAAAAAGTCTCAATTCTTTTTAGAAGACAAGTGCAGACATAATTCATTATATATGTACAAATATGAAGGTGGGGAGCATTCAATACTCAATTGGGGATGGCATTCTCCCTGGCTATCTGCAATCAATACCGAGAGTTGATCTTCCGAGGAATTTAAAGTAAACTGATAGATGATGAGGGAGGAAGAGGCAAACCTACGTAAGGCAATAGTCCACACTGATACTTCTATAACAAACAGGAAGTCCACAATATACTTACAGAGTTGGAAAAATCAAAATTATGGCAGACAAAGCAAATTTCTGCATTTCAAATGCAAAACTAGTTCCTCATGACACGACTACCCGTAAGATATTAAGAAAACAGTGAGGAAACTAATTCCAAAAGTATATAGTGAACAAGCCCAAGCAATACGTGTTTTAGGTTGTTGGTAATAAAACTTCAAACAAAGAGAGTCTCCACTGAAAATGGAAAAATCAGGAATCTCAATGCTTTTTGTGTTAAAATACACGTGTGAGTTATTAGAAAATGTCCCACGCCGGAGAATTAGTGTATGTGGAATAGTTAATATATCCCAATTGGCACATAACTTAGTGGCTTAAGCTTTTGAGTGAAGGTAGATTGAATTGGATATGTTGATTGGCTCGAGCTTGGGCTTTCACTTGGTGATCTCCCAAGTGAAGGTGCTTCTGTTGCGCACTCCAAAAGACCTATGACGCTATAATCTCAACACTTTGTACTGGTACTGAATAATTACACACATATATCCAAAAGACCTATAACACTATAAGCTCTTCAAAGGACCATCGAGACTTTGTGTTAAGTAGGCAATTATTTTGAGTTAAAATATCCCACGTAACTTGTTTATGGAGGTTGTCTAGGCTTTACACACATGTAGTCTTCCTCCACTTAATAATTTAAGTGTTTTTGTTTGATCTTCTTACATGAAAACAAAGCCAGGTTTCAGTTGTTCGTGGCCATTTGATGTCTTGTGTCACGTGTGGTTCTTATCTTTTTATTCCCATTTGTCATTTTATGCTCCATCCGAACATCTATTAAAATGCATACGGGGCGTTGAAGTATCCCATCTCTCTTCCATATAAAGTTCCTCAGGATTTACACATATTTAGCCTCCCTCCATCTAATACCTTTTCCTTTTAAATTGGACTTTCAACCATTTCGCAGAAAAAAAAGGGGTCACAAAAGGGACAATTCAGGAACTTAAGAACCTATATGGCAATAACTTCAAGCACATGTCCATTCATAAAGAGTCTTGGGGCCAAAAACTTGTCAGGATATGTTTCCATGCTAACAAGTCATCACATAAATAAAATCAACTCCAAAATTGAAATAAAGTTTCGCCAACAGTTGTTATGCCCCATTTACATGATATATGACACCAAATATTAGAATAAAACCAGTTAATCCGCAATTGGAAAACGAAGAATTATATCAGAACAAGCACACATCCAGAACACCGTTATCGTAACATAATGGCACCAACCAACAACAGATTGAGATTGCCGTGTCCCCCCAAGAACAAGTTCTGACTCTAAATCGCACAAAAAGCCTTGACATTACATTTAAAACATAGAAAGAGTAGAATAACAGAACAAGCCAAGACCTATTTACCCAACCTTCGCATTGTCCAGGACAATGTCCTACGATACTGAAGAATAGCAAAAGAGAAATATTCAAAGCAAATGCCTTCCAGGACATCGTTTAACAGTCCTTAAGCTATTGCGTGACTGCTATCAACTAATCAAGTTCTTCGCCCCTAAACATCGAACCATAAAACTTAAAAGAGAAGTAGCAATTGCAAGAGTAAAGCTCAATAAGCACATGAATCGAAGCCCAAAGAAAAAATGTCGGAAAAGAAAATAAGAAAGCATCGCAATTCATTTTCGAGTAAGAACAAGCAAGATATCCTCCTTATCACTCCTAGGAGCAGACATAATTACCGATCTCAACGATATATGGACCATGCAAACAACTAACAGCACTAGCCTGTATCTTGGTAATAGTTACAGAGATGACGAAGTTCTTAAAAGCACTTCTGGTGGATTCTGCCACTTACAATGGAATGGACTATGACCAGATATCAAGAATAAAATCTCACTAACGCAAGATGACGTTTTGATAAAATTACAAATTTGAGGGTAGTTTGAATAATCTTCCAACAGACACTGCCTGACCTAACATCAACAATCCCAGTCATAACAAACAAGGATGCCAATGAAATCAACTAACCAGCTCCTATATGAACAGTTTACGACAGATTCTTTTTTCCCTCAAAGCAAAACCTTAATCAGCCAACCGAACCAACAAGTGCCAAACTAGCAAAGTAGCAACCAACCTTTACGTTCTATTTCCCCCATGTTTTCCCTCTACCCCTAGGAGTCGATAAGTGATAGAATCATGTCTATAATCTTAAGACCTTGCAAAATCACTCAACAAAATAATATGCTCGAAATGCTTCATCCTAGGGAAAGTTTCTGCTCTCTGAAGAGTGGAAAAGATGGTTTTCAGAACAAGCTATATGCCCATCACCATTTTCTGGTTGAAGGAAAAAGGCTTCGCCAATTAACCAATGTTACCAACATGATAAAGTACTATCCATCCCACATGCCACTTAATCTATGTTCCTTTTTATCTTTCTCAAAACATCCCATGCCCTATCTTGTCGATTTTTTGGGGGACAAGTCTGCTCTCCTTCAACAAGCTCAGCAATAAGCAAGTATTTTTAAGAATTTAAAACAGTACATATTATTCGCTGCAACTGCTTCTACACCTTACTGAGGCAGCTAAAACAAACTCTCATGGTCAAACATATTTCACATTCGGATCACCATTACTATAAACAACTTAGCCCTTTTCTGCTCCAGACACTCTAAAAGAAGAAATCGCCCTGCACTTCTATATCAACAATTAAGAGCAAGAAAGAAGTACCTGTTGAAGCAAAGCAATCCTCTGATTAGTGGCAGCCATAACCACAGCGCAAAAGGGGAACCGTGATGCTTTCAAACTATTACTCATCTTAAACCCTTCGCTGGCCCTTATGCTCCCACCCCACGCAACGAAATTCTCATTCACGAAAGCCGCCAACGCCTCACTGCACAAAGTCTGCTCACAGAAATGCGGTGTGTCCGGATGATCCGGCGAGTGCAAGTACACGAACAATAACTTGTATTCGTTCCGCGACCGCTGCAGGGCATCCATAAAACCCTCGGACACGAAATTCGGCCTCGCCGCTGCCGCCGCGCCATACTCCCTCTCGAAAGAAGCCACGAATTCCATAGCCTCGGCCGCCGCGGCCGACACCGAGACCAACCTCGCCGAGGCCTCCCCGCCGCCCCGTCCCGAGCCGGAACCCAACCCCACCATCCCGAGGGAATAAGACAGGACGCCGCCGGCTATCCACATCCCGAGCCCAATCGCGCCGGAAACTAACCCTAGGCCGCCAGAAATCACCGAGACCGGCAACGTGATCAGCCTCCACGTCAGGCTGGGCCCCCCGGGGGCGGGGGCGGGGGCGGACGGCGGCCCGACCTCCAGCCGCCGATTCCCGGAGCCCGCGCCGCCCGCGGAGGCGGCGGCGGCGGAGGACGCGGAGGGGGGATCGTCGGGGGGGTTGGAGCCGGTGAAGGAGGCGATCGCGAGCTCGAGGTCCCAGCCGTGGGCCTGGAGGATCTCGGTGCACAAATCGGCGTCGTCGAGGCCCGTGATCGCTTGGAAATACGCCACCTTATCGGATACATCGCCCATTTCTCTCCCTCTCTATCGATGAACGAGCGAATTGCAGAGAGATCGCGAAATACAAGCAACGAGACGAGCGTGCGCGCGCGCTAACTGCTCCTTCTCCTTCTCCTTCTCCTTCTCCGTCTTCTTCTTCGTCGTCGTCGTCTTCTTCGTCTTCTGCAACTCGGGCTTTAGGCCGGAATGAAGGACTGGAGTGTTCGTTTCGGGATGGATTGCGCTTTCTCTCGGAGGGGTGGTGGGGGGGCGGAAATGCCGAAACTGGACTCCGGTTCGGCGTGAAATAACGAGAGTGCCACCCGACTCCCAACCGGTTTTGCGGAAGTCAATGAGGAACGGGCAGGTTTGTCGGTGAGCCGTCCTCCCGTGTCTGAGCGGAGAACTGGCGAAACGGCCGCGGCCGAGGCTGGCCGTCTTTGGACGGGCCTCCCAGGGCTCTCCGGCGATCCCTCCCTTGGCAGCCATTCCCGATATCGCGATGGGTCGTGACCACCATGCGCTGTTAGAAATATTAAAATCTTTTTCGATTTCTTCCTGTAACTTTTCTTGAGGAGCAAGTTGATTTATAATTTTCTGCCGTAAGATGATTCAAAACTTGATCGTCAAGTTTTGACGAGTCAAATTTGCTTAGTAAAGAATAAAACTTCACTGCCTTAGGAGTAGTATAAACAGGCATGTCCCGTCCCCATTTTTGTCAACGTGTAGAAAAAAGCTTATAAAGCTAAGCTTGTATTTTCTCTGTGTAAAGTCTACGCAAAAAGAAATTTTGAATGCTATTCTCTCTCGTTTGTGTATTTGTGTGCTCTTCACCAAAATCTTCAAAGTTTCTCTATATCCTTTTTGGTTTCAACAATTCGATCGCGGTTTTCAATTCCAAAATACCGCGACTATAAGTTAGATCGAGTGTCCAACTTGAAGCGGGACATGAAAACATAAAAAAAAAATGAGGTTAAAGATGTGAAAACAAAAAAATGAATCTTTTTCGTACCTTGCAGCTACCCATATGACTCATTGATAAGCTAAAAATTGACAAACGCTCCTTCATAGCTAAAAATTGTAGCAAAAAAGAAAATCGAATGGACCAGTAGAAGTATGCCAAATACGCGTTATAATGAACAATCACTTGGAAAAAAGGGTGATGTTCATAGCGAATGGACTCATTTTTTTCTTGACAAGAGTGCTGTAAATAGATACAAAACTTGGTCACGAATGGATATCGGCCGTTCAAACATAGGTCTTGCCGTTCCGTCATCGGGCTCATGCTCTTCGTGCGGCATTCAAACCGGAAAAGCCTCCGAACTACCCATGCTTCCTACACTCCTGTAATAACCTGTGAAGGATGCTTGAGGCGATACTTTTGTACATAAACATGGTAACGCGTCTCAGTTTGAGGAAGAGGGTAAATTGTCCAAAGACCCTTTTCACCTCCCGGTTTTTCATCCAGTAATTACCTTAAGCAAAGGAAAAAAAAAACGTATTACAGACACCAAAGCAAAGAAAACTTAAGTATTCGGAAAAGACCATAAATCTACAATCCCTTATTATGGATACCGCAACTCCAAAGATTTTCATCAGTGGATCAAAAAGTAAACAATCACGATTTATAGGTTGACATACGTTGAACGGACGAAATCTGCTGCACTTCAAGCTCGAAGATCGCGAGCGTATCGGATTCCGGAATTATAGCTCTTGAGTCATCAAATTCGTTGCGATACAAACACCTAATCTGGGTGCCCTTTGCACGAGAACACCATTTTGGGGGTTGGGACACCATACCCTGACGTATAGACAGTACAGGAGTGATTCCGCATGACTCGACTGTCGTCGAACTCGCAAGGCCGCGTATTGGTACGCGTGCCCGCAAGAAGAGAAACCCTTTTGGGCCTTTGAGAAGATAATGCTCCTGTCTTTGGGTATATGCCCATTTCAGCCAAGCAAAGCATCTATCTTTTATAGTATATTTGGAGGAAGAGGTCTAGTTCTGGTGTTCCAATTAATTGATTTGCCGTACAGAAAAGGATTTCTTCATTTGGTTCCCATTGGAAAATTTCAAGAATTTCAATCTAGCTCGACCATGGACATATATTGTTTCCAGACTCGAGAGTCCTAGATACAGATAAGATCTCTCACCTGTAATTTATACTGCAGCAATGAAGAACCAGAAGCCTATCGCGGTATCACCTGAAGCTGAAAGCAACAGTTGCTTAATCAGTTTAACACGAAGTTGGTTAACTTTTTGGCGAATCAACACACACAGCTAGACAACTCCACTACATTCTTCGCTCTTGATCCCAGAGACTTTCGCCTCGGTTTCTGTCGTGTGCATCCCAACCAACAAAAACTAAGAAACCGTAAAGATCTTCAGATTTCTTTCCTGAGATCCCGACATAGACAAGATGTGCACCTAACTGACAGGTTGCACTGGAATGGCGGCTTCAAAGAAACTCCGCCAGCAAAAGGTCAATACTCTAGGCAAATAATGCGGCACTACTCGACCTCCTCGATCAAAGTCTTTCCCCGGATTACGCCTTTATCACCATTTTTTTCTACCCTTTTGCCGTCTTCATGAACGAGAGCTGCCTTTTTCTCGGCAGCTACAATTGTTGCTAAGGAAGTCCAAGCCTCCTTGGGCTGTTCATGGACCCAACACATGATGAAATAAACTTTCCTTTCGGCGAGCTTAAGCTTATTCTTGACTTCTGTCCTCCTTGATCTCTTCGGCTTCTCTAGCTTCAATTCCCTCTCTCCAGCCTGAACAAGCCTCTGAAGGTCGCTAAGAAGGCAGATTAAAGCAGGGGTTCCAAGAGAAAGGACGCTCACGACATCGTCTATAAGAGCTATCCCAAATTTTAAGCCACCCACATGTCGATAAGCTGGAGAACAAGTCTGCTCTAGGCAATAAGATAAAGCTTCAAGCATGGTTTCCGGCTGCCCACTTTGACCCAGGACAGAAGACACACCCAGAAGGACCATCGACGAACCCACCACATCTGTCTGCCAATCTCCATTGTAGAGGCGAACCGTGAAACAGTAGCTATATACGATGTCGACCAAGTGAACAGCTAGAAGTGGAGAGGGCGGTGTTGAGCTAAGCTTGCTAAGTGGCAGTAATGGAGTGTCAGGGCCAGGAGGGATGTCACTCAAATAGGAACTACCAGTATCAGCATCTGATAACCCTGATTCTTCATCCCTAGCAAGCGGTTGAACAAGCTGAGTCCCGTCTTGGCTAAGACGTATTTTTCCAGCAGAAGGGTTCAACCACCATGGTTCCCATGGATCAATCATCCTGCTCAGTTCTCCAGATGCCACAGCTCTGTGAAACCGTTTCTTCTCTTCCGTAGATAGATCGTCCAAACTGATCTGTCCACCTGTGCATTGCCATAGCATCACAGCTTGCATCATCTCACACAAAGTGCAAATGCAAGAATATGCATAACATTACGAGTACCAGTACCATATTGAATCATCAAATTTGTTCATTTCGCATGACGAATCATAGCTCAAGGGGAGAAAAACCTGATTTGTACATAAGCATCATATCCAAAACGTTGTCTCCATTGAGGCAAAACAGTACCTGATAAAATCTTTTCTATAATCTCCTCAGAGAGGCCCGAATCTTCACCTAACATCAAACAAACAATCAGTTAAAATCTTTTGTTTGCAAAAAGTAAAAGGCCAAGATAAAGCTCTCATTCAGGACCCTAGACTGTCGCCTTTTTCCTATTGTTATATAACACTGATACCAGAATCTAAATTTACTTCCATAATTTACAGATTTAGAAAAGAAAGGGTACTGCAGTGGTCTTTTACCCTACTTTTATGGCTCCAAATCTTCACCTGTATGCCACCCCAAGTCGACTTCATATTTTCTTGTTTTCCATAGTCATAAACAAAGTTTAATGCAAAGAGTAACCAAGCACAATCACCGGTTTCAGTATATAAAAGGATTGGTTACAGATATTGATGAAACTAGGTAGAAATTAAAGCTCTCAAAGTATGCATGCTTACCACTTGAGAAAAAGCACACCCCACATGACCAGCATACAAGCAGTTCGATGCAAACAATAAGCCATGGCTCTCAGGTCTCTATCATTTGAATTATTTGATATTTTTATAATTTTTGTCTAGGTAATAATACACTGTCACTATACAAAAGACATTACACAATAACCACGAGAGACTTGTAAAACAAATAACAAAACCCAGTAAATGGTTTAGCACTGTGCACCCACTTCCTTATGCTCGAGTTAGGAGATCAGACACATATTGTTATGAGGTTTGCACAAGATTTTACTGCAATCAGTTACTTTTTTATGTTTCGCAGAAACGCAACCGGCAACCATCTCTTGTGATCTTAAATCTTAATATGCAATTCATGTTGCCAAAAGAGCACATCAATCATATTACATATAAGAGGCAACTTAAAGTACTTGTGACTTCTTGTTGCAGTTATGAAAAGAAAATAATATTTCAGATTGCAAGGAAAAGTAGTAGCCCAGGAAAAAGGTCTCAGATAAACCTAATAGACCACTTTCAATGGATATGCATCTAGAAAGTACAGCACTTCTCTCGGTACTCAGTAGCCTATACATAAAATCTACACTGCACAGAAATCCAATTGTTTAGAACATGTAGATTACCAATCATTACCGACCGGTCTCAATTAGACAATTAAATATCTAGGTACATACCGTCCTCATCCATACTGTCTTCCTCCTCTTCTGAATGGAGTCTTTTAAGTATGTCCAACATCTTTCTCTTGGTCACATCGTCCGATTGGACGTGGTGCAGCTCCTGGACTACATTCTCTCGCATGAAAGATTCCGTGCATCTAACACTGTGAGACTGTAACACAGAATAAGATGAAAAGCCAACCATATGAGCCGGTAAGGCGCCAAGAGCTTGTTCTATCAGTTCATTAATTAAGGATGTTTCCAGCAAGAAACGGCTGGAAAGAAATTCATTCGAGAAACCGCACGAGTTCGATTGCTACATGGTTCGAAGTATTCATCATCGGCAGTACTATTTTACCTTGTAGCATTGCAGGGAACAATACCGGGAGTTACATCGAGGGCAAGTATACTGCGAGAATTGTTTCTGGCACCTACCCACGAATCCAAAATACAACGTCAAGAAGCCGCCGAGCTCAAACTCAACAGACCCACTAAAAAGAAAAAAACCGTGAAAAATCCAGAATTGCAATGAGCCCACCGGAAGAAAAGGGGGTAAAAACAAGAAAAGAAAAGGGAAAGCTAAGAGTATTTCACTCAAAAGTTCTCCAACGGATGGGAACAGAAGCGCGCCGCCATCGATACCCAGCAACGAGCATCGTGCAGCCGAACCGGTGGCCGACGCCCATCAACAAACGAACGAAGTTAAAAGACAGCAGGATGTGGAACAGCGGAAGGAAGGGACGTACACGAGGCAGATCGTGCGGGAAGGAGGATCGAGAGGGGAAGGAGCGGGCGACCGAACCGCGTCGGCCATCGGAAGCGATTGGGCTGCGCTTGGGCGCTGCTCTCTGCGATTGATTAAATTACTTCGCCACCTTCTTCTTCGTCGCGGAAAGAGAGAACGCGGGCGTTTTTCGAAGACACCGGAAGCGTCTTGCCGTGCAGGGAAGAAGAAGAAGAAGAAGAAGCTGCTCTCGGGCGGGCAAAAGCAGGAAAAGGAGAGCGCCGTTTTTGTGCGTGCGTGGACCGTGGGCCGGGATAATTTCTTCTCTTTGAGTGCTATTTCTGTTCTCAAACGTGGAGGAAATGTCTTTTACTGTGTGCTGTCGACAGTGCTCCTGGTACCTGGAACTTGGAAATAACTTGGATCAAGCAACATCCCATCCCGAAGGGGACTACTTTTGTTGAGCCGTGATTCATACTCTCCATCGACAGGAGGGATCCTGCTCAACCGCTCAATGCTAAGCAGGTAGGGTCCGGGGAGCTGCCCCGACAGTGGTCGTAGGGTGCAGCGCCCCGTGAAGCCAAAGGGCTTTTATATTTTGAGTCTGTAATTTTTTGGCAATTTAGGTTTGTGCCCATGAATCGCTACTGTTGTCATATATATTTTCATTTTTTTGTAATGGAGAGATGTAACATAGATGTGCGATGTGCTAATTATAGTGGAATCTTCTGTTGGACGTAGCGCTAGTTTAAAGGTGAACCAGGATAGAAACCTTGTGTCTCAACTTCTTTTTTTTGCTTTTACTATCTATTTCCTCGTGATTGTGCGCCAAATCTTAACAGTCTTGAATCCCGAGTGTTGAGGTTGGCTTGGATTGGGTGTATTTGCTCCATCTCTAGAGCTCGTAATGAATTGTTGCACAGCCAAATTCTTCCTTCTGTGAATTTTGTATTCAAGACGGTTGCTTTTGCTGTCAAAGTCAGTATCGAAGGGCAGAAGCCATCGAGGAAAACGATTCATTCAAGCTTGGCTTCTGAGATATGTACTAAGTGCCATATGAATTTTGATTAGGAGTAGTAGTTTGCAGTTTCCATTGTACTCTGTCTTCTATTCCTGGGCAGGATTTCTTGTAATTTGGTGGAAGATTATTGCTTTTTGTATGCTTCAATTTGCTTGGCTATGTATAGGCACTAGTCGTTTCATGAAGTTGATGTGACAGTAAAAATTTGACTTAACCCATAAAAAGAAAAGGTTCCACTCTGGAAACATCTAACCAAACAGTACTGTTACATCTGGTGCCACGATATTAAGGATTAAGTACCCTAACATGCTCAAACCAGAATAATGGACACCAATCATCGATTGGTTGGAAACAAGAACAAACACTATCTCACCTTGGTCTGCTTTCAAGAATTTTTTTTGGAAACCAAGAAACTTTTTTCGTCTCTCTTATTTACAGATCTTCTGGACCATTAATTCCTTGTGATAGATCATCTTGCTCTTGTGTGGTGTGAAACAGCAATCAAATTTTGCCCCACCTAAAACTTTGATCCATATCCCAACAGACTTTTTCATATGAGATCTCTACTAATTCTGATTCTGAGATTCATTATTTGGAACTATATCGATTCTTCACAGATTACCTGGGGGTCAATCTTGATATTGTAAACATGTAAATGATCTTGATCGGTGATAACTTAACCAAATCAATTGGTGTGAAAAGATTTGTTTCTTGTCATTCATACCCTCTCAAGGGCCTTCTGTGTTCCCTCCTCATTCTGTTTCTGCAGAGTGATTCCGTTCGTGGGCTGATTGTGTTTCAACTTCTCCTCGACTGCGGGCTTAAATTCGGCCAACTCCGCTAATCCTTCAACCTCATCCACAACTCCTTTGATTCTTCCGGCAATTTCGATGAGTAAAGATGCTAAAGTCACTAGCGGGACGACATCCAACAGTGGCATTGTAGCCAATGATGCGGCTGATCTCTCTGCTTTCTCACTCTCTGTGCCACTTACTTCAGGTGATGGTAATGGAAGAAGCAAATTAGGAAGATCTGCTAAGCAACTCTGGAGGTCTTTCACAGCGTCATCCATTTGTCCTACCGCAAAATCTATCGCCGACGATTTCCTCGTTGCCTTGATTGCTTTCCCTAGTTCTTTTATGACATTGGAAGATATGGAGCTCACTCTCAAGCACGTACTCGCAAGATGGCTCTTTATCGACTCTGGGGCCTGTTAAAATGCACGTTCCAATTTATCACCGTATACCAACTGAAGAATTCGGGTTGAAATTTGACAAAGATCCATATGAATGGGACATCTACATACCAACTGAAGAATTCTTAGTTTACCTGAGTTTCTGAATAGATGCAACCATAGAGAGCCTCGACACAGTATGCACATCGACGTATCGATGCCCCGACTTTGAGGTACTGTTTCCACGGGTGCAGGAAGTTGAAACGGTCATGCGCCGGCTCCCATCTAGCAAAGTTGGCCTATAAAGGAAGTAATTTAAAAAGGGAATTAGAAACCTAAAGGCAAACTTCCACAAGTCGTCGAAAGCATCATGCTACTGTTGGTTAGATTGCATACCATAATTTCTTCTGTTGCTTTTGAAGTTAACACGCATTTGTAGCCTTGTAAGTTCTTGATAGGTTCATTCTTGCCGCCTTCGATACTACCATCAAAGTATTCGATGACACAACCTAGAAAAGGAAGAAAAGGAATCGCGTCAAAAAGTTCTCAGAAAGATGCAAGTTAGGTCACTAAGAATTAGTTGCGGTCATTTCCATTCTGATGCTTACCTTCTAAAGAGCAGGAGAGCTTGTCCAAGTTCCGGAGGATCAGATTGTGCAGCTCGGTGCCGGCCCAAATGGGGCAAACGAGCATGCTTACGATGATGCACAGGGAAGTCCCAATGATGACTGTGGATATCCTCTGGTGGGCCAAGGCCAACAGCTCATCCACCCGGTAACCTGACACCGAGACCAAGCTGAAGGTGAGGATGAATATCATGGCGCCGTAGTCGAACCGGGCTTTCACCGTCGGAATGAACCTCGAGAAGGTCGCTGCAGAAGCTGGCCAAGATGAAAGCACTAGTTAGTCATGAGCTTGGATTGCATATATATCTAGGTAATGAACTTATAACACAGTTAAAATGCGACTGCGCCCAGTTCATGTACCGAGTAGAAATAGGGAAGCCCCAATGATCAATCGCTCAAACTTCTCTCCAGATCGTTCAGCCACCCAGTTGACGCCGACACCGAGGAATCCAGCGAGAAAGGTCCCGCAGACTCTATTCAAACATTTGCACATTGTTGCACCTGCAGTTAAAGAGTTAGGATTTGCCAGTTACTACGAGATCAATACTCATGAACTGTATCAAATCATTAGTAAGAAAATCTCGAGGATAAGAAGTTTGCTTACCAACAGTCTGCTCGAAAACTACCACGACCGTCATAACGGCCCACATGGCGTTCCCGCCAACGCCTTCATACAAGGGCCTCATGTAGTAGAAGAGCGACACCACGCTGAGCGCCATCCCAACCTTGAGACAGTGAATCACTTTCCTCGGGTCGGCGACTCCCAAGTTCCATGCTTTCAGAAGAAATCCCCAAATTTTCGAGACGAACCGCGAAAACAGGCCGACTAGACAGTTCCAAGCCTTCATGACCGGCCCTTCGTGAGGAACCAATGTTTGGGTTGTTCCATCCACCATCTTTATCGTCCACTCAAGTCCGTTGTTCATTTCCTTTGCCTGAGACATCTTTTCTTCTCGCTTTGGCTGGTGGAATTGATCTGAATGAAACAGAAATTTGATGTCACTTATATGGCACTGATGAGCATTATCTGGCAGCACCAAACTAGTATGGTCATGGCTTGCTGACTGTGGAGGACTATAAATAGATGAAATATGATGACGTACTGCTTTTACGTACAAGTATAGAAAAATTAGAGATCGGAAACCTCCACTGCAATACTGACTTTTCATTTTCCTTCTCTTTGCTTGTAATTATTTTCATTTCGAAACTATCAGCCTAGTGCTTGTTCTTTCCGGTTTGAGCTTATTCCCACTATTTAGTTTCTTCTTTTGTTAAGGGGTGGCAAATCTTGACCCGACACTAGAACACTGCTCGAAAAAAAGTCACTGATCTGCTGAAACAAATCCTAATCCTACGCGACACGACACGATTAACTTAACACTATCACGTATTAACACGATTTTCAATGAAAAGTACTTTACAATCATGTTGAAATATTTTGGTGATGATATGAAATGATATCAATATGATGACATGACACGAATTGTCACGAAACATGGAATGTTTAAGCGGTTTATCCAAATTCCAAACTCTATGTAAGATGACCCTTAATAGTTTGTAACATAGGCATGCCATTTCTATGTCATCTTAGTTTCCTATTAATCATGTCATAGAATATAATTTCTGTGCTTTAGACACGCATACCTTATACAATATCGATCACATTTGTGACAATGACATTAGAACCTAATGGCCTATAACTTTGGCCACATTACTGCATTAAGTAGTCCTTTTTTTTTAATTTCCCAGGGCACTAGGGCATTATTTTATCCCTGTCTTAGTCTCTCTCCCCCATCATCAATCTCAAATCTTGACATGTATGGCCAGAGTCAACCTCATATACTTATGTGGACCACATTAACCGTTAGGTCATGGCCATGGGTTCTGCTGAGAGAATACAAAGTATTCTTTATGCTGATAACTTATCCTCTACTTTGCATTTCTTGCCTACCCACTAACTAAGTCTTGATGATAATGTATAGCACATAAAAAAAAACCAAATGGTGATATTACGAGGCAGACACGACAAAGTGACTTAACAATCTGCCATCTATAGAACATATGCACCTCATTCTACCCAAACAAGATCCACTATCTTGGAAATTTGCCAAAGTGACTTAAAAATCTGCCATCTATAGAACATATGCACCCCATTCTACCCAAACAAGATCCACTATCTTGGAAATTTGCCAGAAATCCCTAGTTCCCAACATAAGATGTACTGATATACTCAATCCAGCAATCATCGAATGTCGAATATCATGGTATATTTTCTTCTTCTTTTTAGAATAATAACAATCGACATTGTGTGATTGACTTAAATGGACAGAAATATGTAATCTTGTTTCTAAAGCACCCAATAGGCTCTTGTGAAAGAAAGAAAGAAAAAAGGCGATAGTGCATTCAAGACACTAGAGAGCCCTCCATCTACTAGATATCCACCAAGCTGACAGCCCCAATATGTCTTAGGAAAGCTCCAAAACATTTGTTTAGGTTGCCCGAAAGTAAAATAAACAAAAAGGAGAAATCAACTTAAACTGTGGTTTTCTTTTGTTCTAGTGCACCTTGCAGTTGATGATATTCCTAATTTTATTGGCAAATTAGGTCATGACTTGGACTGCCCCATACTCCCAATAGAATTGAGCACTAGTGGAACAAGATCAATCCGAACCCGATTGGCTTGTGCTGATTTTACTTGAAACGAAGAAAAGAGCATTCATCTCCTTTTGGTCTTTCCACAAAAGCATTAATTTTGTACGGCAAAATCAACTTAGGTCATGATTTTGACTGTCCAATAGTCTCATGAGATTCATGTATGAATTTTGTTAGAAATTCCGCAACGAAAAATTGATGTGATATGGAACAGTTAATATATCATAATTGACTTATAACTGATTGACTTAAATCTTTTAATGAAGGTGGGTCTAATTTAATATGTTGACGAGCCTGAATTTAAGCTCTCTCCCTTGACAATGAAGGTCTCGTACTTATACTGTGCGCTCCCAAAAAATGGCCATTCCCAATATATATCGGAATGAATCTCGTGAACAACATAGTTTCCAAGTAGCGGATAGACTCAGATTTGGATCTCCAAGAGGAAGGAATCTCATTTTTTGGGCAGCCTTCACAGTGTTAATGACCTCGAACTTAGATTCTCCCTTAGCAATCTTCTCAAACGATGGTCTCGGACTTATGCGGCACGCTCCCAACATTGAGCACTACTGGAACAAATTCGATCCAGGTGGCTTGCACTGGTTTCACTTGAAACGAAAATAAAAGAGCACTTATCTCCTTTTTCCCATTGAATTCTTTCCACAAATCCACTGATTTTGAAAGGCAAACTCAACTATCAAAAAGGTTTTTGTCTTCTATCTCCCACACAGTTCTTGGGAAAATTACCAATTCAATCCTCAACCTATTGCATTTGTGCCAATTCAGTCCTAAACCTTTCAATTTGGCCAATTCAGTCCTAAACCTTTTGTAAACCAGCCAATTCAGTCCTTTTGGCCGGTCGGCGCTAACGTGGCCGCTGGCCGGCTGACGTGATGCCGGCCGGCGTCCACGTCGCGCGACCGGCCAAAAGGACCGAATTGGCCGTTTGCAAAAGGTTTAGGGACCTAATTGGCCAAATTGAAAAGGTTTAGAACGAATTAACACAAATGCAATAGGTTGAGGACTAATTGATAATTTTCCCCACGCTTCTTCCTTTTTCTACTTTCTTTTAATAATAGTATTTTTGCCTTATGTGACTTTCATGTACGTAATGAAGCACTTATCCTAACATGAGTAGGCCAAGTTAAAAGGTAATTGTAACCTTTTTGTAGCTCTCCATCTTGTGGCACTCAAGAGATTGTGTATACATAAGCACATTAACGACACAATGCATTATTCTGTTGGCACGTACAAATTTGAATTGGGTTATTGCAAATCAAAGAAGAGAAAAAGATCCGGTTAGAGTGCAAATAGAGAGTAAGGAAAGGGATCGATTAAAAAAATGAAGCGCGAAAATTGAAATGGCGTAAACATTCAGTACTTAGTGTTGTGGTCACGGAAGGTAATCCATCACAATACGAAACGACTTACAAAATTTAGTACAACTTGTGCACTAGTTAGTGAAAATATCTAAGAAAACTTTGTTTGGAAAATTATTAAAAAAAGTCCTAAATATATTGTATTTATGTCAATTTAGTCATAACCTTTTAGGAGTGCGCATGACAACAATTACATCAGGGAGCAGTTAAGTCGAAATGATTCTTTTTATTACGTGCCCGGAAGCGATTCTAAGCATTTGAAGGCGTTTGGTAACGGCATAAAATTTCTTTTTATTAATAATATTTTAATAACATTTTAAATATTTTAATATTTCTTTCTTTTCTTTTTCTTCTCCTCTTTCTTGGCCATGGCCGGTAAAATATTTTTTAATTAATAATACTTTTATTAAAAATAAATTTTTATTTTTTGGCCATGGCCGGTAAAAATTTTCTTATAAATAATTTTTTTATTAATAATTTTTTTAAAAATATTTTTATTGAAAATATTTTTTTCTTTTTTTTCGCCATGGCCTAGTCATTGGCCATGGCCGGTAAAATATTATTTTTATTTTTTTTGCCATGGCCTGGTCGCTGGCCATGGCCGGTAAAATATTTGTTTATAATTTTTTTTAATTAATAATATTTTAATAAAAAAATATTTTTATTGAAAAATATTTTTTATTTTTTTCGTCATGGCACAGTGGTTGGCCATGGCGGGTAAATTTTTTATTAATAATAATTTTTTTTTCGCCATGGCACGGTTTCGGCCATGGCCGGTAAAATTTTTATTAATAATATTTTTTTATTAAAATATTTGAATCTCGCGATCTGACGAGGGTGGCCCTCGCGCCGGACATTAGAAGCTATATTAAAAACCAAAAAAGAAAAAAAAATACTTATTCTCATTTTTGTTCCCGAATTAAGAAACTATTTTTTTTATTCTTGATTGTGCTCCAAAGCGATTAAGGGCACAAATTTGCAAGAATTTGTGCCCGAATCAAAAAATTAAACAAACGGATTTCTATTCCCAAAGCGATTACGGGAACAAAAAACAGAATCAAACACTATTTGGCAAGTTGCCATGCGCAGCCTATAGCCAATTTAGGCCTAAACCTTTTGATGATTTACTAATGTAGTCATTTTAACCAATTTTGGTAGAAAATTGCTCCTGTGGACACGAGCAAGTGCCACATAGAACGACTGACGCTAACTTAGACGATTTTTATAATTTTTGTTTCAAAAAAATCTTGAATTTTTTTATAATTTTTCTTTTCTTTTATTTTTCCTTTTTTTTCTCTACAAAATCCTGTGAGGGTTGCTGGCCGTCGCCCAAATATCGCAAGGGCAGCAAAGCCCTTACCATCAGTAGGCAAGGGTTGTAGCCCTCACCCAGACGACCACTGGGCGAGGGCTTCGCAACCCTCACCCAATGGCTGACAACCTTGCCTATGGTCAGTGAGGGTTGGTACATTGCCGAGCTTAGAAAGAAAAAAAAAGGAAAAGAAAGAAAGAAAAATAAACAAAATAAAATATTATAAAAAATTCAGAATTTTTTTAAAATATTATAAAAAATAATCCATGTCAGCGCCGGTCGTACCACATAGGATAACCGGTGTCCATATCAATGGCTTCCGGTCAATATTAACCAAAATGATTAAATTGGCAAATCGTCAAAAAGTTTATGATTAAATTGGCTAAATTGAAATGTTTCGGACTGAATTGGCACAAATGCAATAAATTAAGGACTTTTTTGGTAATTTTTCCAAGCTTTAATGTATGTTAAATTTCATCTGCTAGCAGGGATTGTGACTCTACTTTTTTCTAAAAGCCAATCTCTAGATTCTTTTAAAGCTTCAATGGAGTTTCATTTAACAAGAAAAGGGCATTAACAGAGTTTGGGTTTCAAAAGCCCA